TAGCAACACCGCAGGAGAAATGCTAGCACAGGCTTCCAGTATCCGTAGTTTCAGGTGCTGCACATCTTCACACCATAGACAACAAAGACAGTGGGGCCATTCTTCATCAGTGGAAACCTCAATGCCCCTGGATATTTGACATTGCTACATGATGATGTTTCCCTCTGGCATGTTCCCTGAGTTTTTCCACCACCACATTATGGGTGTCAGGTCCAAGCATTCCTAGATGAAGAGTTTCCTGAAAAGTGGATTGGTGGTCGTAGGCCAGTTGAATGGCCCCCAAGACTGGTCCCAGAGATCTTCCAATCTGAACCCCTTAGAGTTTTATCTTTGGGGTCATGTGAAGGCAATTGTCTATGGTGTGAAGATGCAAGATGTGCAGCACCTGAAACTACAGATACTGGAAGCCTGTGCTGGCATTTCTCCTGTGGTGTTGCTATCAGTGTGTGAAGAGTGCGAGAAGAAGGTTGCACTGACAATCCAACACAATGGGCAGCACATTGAACAGAAAGTGGTCAGAAACTTGTAAGAACTCATGAAAAAATAAAGTTACGTTAAAACCAAGCACAGCATTGCTTTTCTTGTGAAATTCCCAGTAAGTTTGACATGTCACATGACCCTCTACCTATTGAAAAAAACAAAAAGTTAGATCCAAGATGGCCGACTTCAAAATGGCCACCATAGTCACCGCCCATCTTGAAAAGTTTGCCCCCTCACATATACTAATGTGGCACAAGCAGGACGTTAACACCACCATTTATTAAGGTGTATCAATATAAATGACCCACCCTGTATACTTTTGCTCTCATTTGATCTCTCATTAGGATCCCGCGCCTATCAGAAGTAAATCTGCAAGTGCACGCTTAAATTACTGCTAAATAATTGGCATTTACAATGTTGGACATTTCAGAAATGAGCACCATTGAGTGCTATCGCTCAAACATTCCTCTCTTTTTACATCCGAGCACGTTTACTGACACAGAAGCGCAATCAATCCTCATCAGTTCAACTCTACATGAAATGATTGTGTGCACACGTACAAAAAAAAAAGGTCAAAACTGCAATACAATTCAAGTCACCCAGATTATTACGTGGGCAGCAATTCTGATTTCATAAAAATCCTTATCATATAATCAATTATGAAAACATCTGGTATAATATAAACACATAATCTAATGAAAAACATCCCAGTAATAAGGAGGTCAGCATGCCAAAAAACGTCCATAACCTGGTCCAGCGCCATGTAGAAATCTGATATATGCAAATATATGCAAATTATATATTTGACATTCATATTTGATCTTCATATATATAGAATATCTCATATGCAACATGGGTCTTATTGCCAAAATAGAATTTTTAACCACTGAAATTACTAATATGTATGTAAGTGTGTATATATTTGTGGTTATATATATATATATATGTATATATATATATATATATATATATATATATATATATATATATATATATATATATATATATATATAAAAAGTGCATATGTATTTGTATATGTATATGTATTTACATGCATATATATATATATAGATGCATAGATATATGTACATACATTTATACACAAACACACATGTTTTTATATGTATTTTATATAAATCCAAAAATAAACTTCTATGTGATGCATGTAATTTGCATATATTTGCATATATCAGATTTCCACATGGGCGTTTCTCAGTAGCGGTTGAGTTTGTCTGGGTCGTTCGATGCCATCTGGGTGAAGTCCTGGAAAATGTCCTGGTAGGTTTCGTCTCCTGGAAAAGAGAAATAAATCCTGCTTGGTTATGGTGTTAAACATGGAGCGCCATTTAGCTGCGATCAGAAGAAGAGAAGAGCTTCATACCTGCAGCAGAGACTGAGCAGCAGAAAAGCGAAAGAGCAAGAGCTGAAGAACAGCGCGCACACACACACACACACAATCACAGCAGATGCACTGATTTTATTCACATTTACATCATAACTATACAAACTCGGAAGATTGTGAATAATAGTTGTGCGTATAAATGAATACAGAGCTTTAGAGACGGCATCTGGTGCATGATTCTTACAGAAAATAGGTTGATTTCTTTCAGTATAACAGCAAACATGAAGTTTGTTTTCGACACTGAGGCCGCGTTTACACTAGTGCGTTTCAGTTTTAAAACGGCATTATAGATCAAAAACGATCTGCGTCCACACTAGCGTTTCACCTAGCGTTTCTGAACATATCTCCGTCCACACTACGCCACCAAAAACGTAAATCACATGACCATTCGTGCACTCTGGGCATGCGCGTTCTACTGTGTCTATGTGTGTCTTGCTCGGCATTCGGTTAATGAACGCGATGGCAAAGAAAGCAAGAGAGGTATTTTTGTGGACAGACGACAAGGTCGAGTTGTTACTAAACGTAACAAATGAATAACTGCACAATGGCGCCTAAAACAGACAATAGTGCAAACGCATTTTAGTTTGAAAACACATAAGTTTTGCTACGGTTACGCTATCCGTCCACACTATTCCGGAGTTTTCGAGCACCGAAAACGGAGTGTTTTAGAAAGGCTAGAGAAGCTGTTTTCATTCTGAAATGCTGCTGCTCCGTCTGGCTGCGTCCGAAACTGCCTACTACTCAGTAGGTACTGCATTTGAATTTAAACGTACTACTGGCCCGTTAGAAAAGTACGTTCTATACAGTTTGAATGAGAAAAGTATGAATGGAATTCGGACGTACTACATCCGGCATTTTGTCATGGTCACGTGACCTACCTGCGTCAATTGCGCCGCTTCACTCCCATTTATGAATTCTCCCGCGGGGCATCATGGGATAGCGCAGCATGCATGGGATGCGCACTCCAGAATCTCACCGGAAGTAGTAAGTCATCCGGGTACTTCTCGCATACTGATTTTCGAATTCTATGAATTCGGACATACTACTCTGCTCACATACTGATTTAGGCGTACTATGTAGTATGAAAGTATGCGGTTTTGGACGCAGCGATTGTGTGGATGGGGGAAGACGGAGACATCTGAAAACGGAGGCGGGGCTGCTGAGATTCGCTACCTGATTGGGGCTTTTGTGTCATTGCGTATCCTTCCCTTATTGGTCAAGCCCCTATCACATGACTATAACACATGACTTTACCGCTACCGAAAGACAGCAGACCAGCCTTCACTGTAAACAACAACATGGACACAGAAATGGGAGCGTTGTTTGCACTACTGTCTGTTTTAGGCACCATTGTGCAGTTATTCATTTGTTACGTTAATAACAACTCGACCCCGTCGTCTGTCCACAAAAATACCTCTCTTGCTTTCTTTGCCATCGCGTTCATTGTTCAGCCGATGTTTGTTGACTAACAATAACCAAATGCCGAGCGAGACGCATGCTTCCTGTTTATACTCGAACGCGCATGCCCAGAGTGCGCCAATGGTCACGTGATATACGTTTTTGGTGGCGTAGTGTGAACGGAGATATGTTCAGAAACGCTAGTGTGGACGCGGATCGTTTTTGATCTAAAACGCCATTTTCAAACTAAAACGCACTAGTGTAAACGGGGCCTTATACTCAAACACTGCGGCCACACATCAGTGTTTAAACAAAGTGATTTTCCTCTTTAAATTGCACTTTAAACTGAATACTAGTATCTAGTAAAATGAAGCACAGTCATCATGGCAGACAAAATAAAAGAGCTATTAAAACTATTTTGTTTAGAAACGTGTTGAAATAAATCTCAGTTAAAAATATCACATAAGGGTGAATAACGCTGTCTTCAATAATAGAAAAAGAAGACACAGAGGTCAGAATTGTAATTTCAATCCCCCAGCTAAAACAAGCATTCAGACCCCTCAGTGCAGTAAAGGAGAGCAACAGAGTAAAAGAAGAGCACAATCAACATACATAACACACAACAGTCTTCATAACGCCTATATAAACCTCTGATTTGCATATGCATAAACCTGAGCGTCTGCATAAGAGATAAAAATAAGACTTGTTTATATGAGATGATGTAAACAGAGAGGACATAAGAGGTGGAGGAGGAAAGAGAAGCAGAAGAGTGTGTGTTTGTGGAGCAGTGAAGGCCAGCTCTACTGCGCCGCTGTGTGGCTGAGAACGACACTGCAACAATACATAATGTTCACAGTGCACACTCGCAATATATCAGCTGATAAATAAATAATATATATCACAAAATACATCCATCACTACATTCAGACTGTCAGAATGAACATGTCTATTGCACTAATGATAAATCGCTAAAAATATCCCGAAAACATTTCACTGCACCGCACATTTACAGACATTTACACAGTTTATATATAATATATTGTATAATAATGTATATTAGTAAAACTGTTAAGATAGTTAACAATTTAAATTAAACACAAGTACCATTAAAACAATTAGATATATAGTTAATAGTGGTACTTGTGTATCATTAGATGGATGGATGGATGGATGGATGGATGGGTGGATGGATGGATGGATGGATAGATGGATGGATGGATGGATAGATGGATGGATGGATGGATGGATGGATGGATGGATGGATGGATGGATGGATGGATGGATGGATGGATGGATGGATGGATGGATGGATGGATGGATGGATGGATAGACTGATGGGTGGATAAAACAAGGGATGGATGGGTGGGTGGATGGATGGATAGATGGATGGACAGAACAATTGATGTATGGATGGATGTATAGATGGATGGATAGACGGATGGGTGGATAAAACAAGGGATGGATGGGTGGGTGGATGGACAGAACAATAGATGGATGGATGGATGGATGGATGGATAGACTGATGAATGGATGGATGGATGGATGGACAGAACAATAGATGGATGGATGGATAGACTGATTGATGGATGGATGGATGGATGGATGGAAAGAACAATGGATGGATGGATGGATGGATGGATGATAGATAGATAGATAGATAGATAGATAGATAGATAGATAGATAGATAGATAGATAGATAGATAGATAGATAGATAGATAGATAGATAGATAGATAGATAGATAGATAGATAGATAGATAGATAGATAGATAGATAGATAGATAGGAATGTGTTGATAAAAACTGTGTTCAGTCAGGTTAATACAGATACGAATATGTGTGTGTATATAAAAGGCTGGGTTATTGCAGAAGTCCAGTGTGTGTTGATCAGTGTGTGTTGATCAGTGTGTGTTGATCAGTGTGTGTGTTGATCAGTGTGTGTGTTGATCAGTGTGTGTGTTGATCAGTGTGTGTGTGTTGATCAGTGTGTGTGTGTTGATCAGTGTGTGTGTGGATGTGCAGCAGGACAGATGTAAACACTAGGAGTCTCTGAGCTGTAAAGTAATGAACTCCTCCATGCACTTGCGGTACTGCAGTTCAGTGGGGCTGTTGGAGTGATATTGACCTGACTGACTGTACGGACCCTCAGATTCACGCATCTCCTCGTTCATCTTGGCCAGCCGGAGTCTGCAGACACAAAACAGAATACAAACATATCAAGGCCTGCTCACACCAAGCACCATAACTCTCAATATAACGATCAATATATTTGTCTCCACTCTGATTATGCTTTTCTGTTCGCATTAACCCGAGGTATTCATCAGGTGTCCTCAGTGTCTTTCTAGCACATCTTCCCCAACACTGAGTGAAACCAAGAGTTTTCTAGACAGTCATTGTTTTTTATTAATCTATGGCAAAAGGGCAGAACGTCTCCACAATGTCAGCCGCAGCTTTAAACTGCGAGAGCCCTTTATATTTCAGCAGATTTGTATTGTTTATGAGCCGTAGAACAATTACTCTGAAATATATATCAATTCTCTACATCTTAACAATTATAGCTGGGCTCTGAACTTCTTTTTACATTCAGAACAACGCCATTATCATTATCTTTATCCTGCTCGGTGTGAACCGAGATGATCTTACAGAGTGACGATATCAGCGTTGGCGGCCTCCACTGCGATGGAAAGCGGTGTCTGATTCTCCACGTCTGCTGCGTTCTGATTGGCTCCTCGTTTCAGAAATAAGCACACCTGCCTGAGGGGCAAACACACAATGGTGACATTAGACCCACAAGCTTCGTATCTCACTTAAAACATTCAACATGATTTGGCAAAGTTTGCAAAATGATATGATCATCGAAATATATGATCATACATCTTGGATGATCAGGCTAAATCAACAATCAAATCTAGCTGATTAATTAATTGTTAAATCTAGCAGAGTGTGGAGATATTATTGTAATAAAGCAGTGAGACTGACCCGGTGTGGCCCAGGATGGTGGCATGGTGAAGCGGCCCTCGACCCCAACTGTCCAGCTGGTTCACACTGGCTGAGTTCTGGAGCAGAAACTCACAGGTCACCAGAGAGCCCTGTAACACACACACACACACCCACAACACACACATAGAGAGATATTTAACAGGATCTTCTTAGTGAACATGTTCATTTTAAGCCAAACTTTGCTTATATGTCTTAAAAATGCTAATTAGAATACAGAAATACAAAACTTTTCTGCATATATATATAGAAATGCTTGTACAGTAAAGCATTGTGGAAGTGAGCTTCTGATATGTGGTGTGTTTGAGTCTCTGACCCCATGGACGGCCATGATAAGCGGCGTCCTGTTGTCCTGCTCGGTGTTGGTCCAGTTGACCTGCGCCCCGTGAGCCAGAGCTTCAGCCATATCAGGCAGACTGCGGCTGAAGGACGCCCAGTAGAGCTGCAGACCCGCAGTCGCCTGCTGAGGCTCGCAGAAAACCACCACAGCCTTCCCACAGCAGCCCTCCTCATCTGAAACACAGCAGAGATCAGTCAGGAACACACACACACACACAGAGACAAACACACATCAGAGCTCAGCTGCATCTGAACCACTGCAACAGCAACAACAACAACAGCAGCAGCAGACAACAGAAACACCAACCACAACAACAGAAACAACAGTGACAACCACACAAACAAGTGCCAACAGCAGCAATAACAGCGACAAAAACAGAAACAACAGTGAAAACAACCACAACAGGAGCAGCACCAACAACAGTGACAACAACAGAACAACATTAACAGAAACAACAGAGTAAACAACCACAACATCAACAACGACAGAAACAAAAGTAACAACTATAGAACAGAAAAAACAGCAACAACAGCTGGAACAGCAACAAAACTCTGTTCAACAAACAGCAACTCTAGCGGCAGGACGGATGGCTGCTGGCCTAGTAAGGTCCAATGACGGTGTCTACTGGTGGATGAAGGTGCACAATGCTGATTTACTTTTAGTATGAGGTGGTTTAGAATATTAATATATTTATCCTCGTTTTATCTGACTCCAATTATAAAACATTGATACGATTATTTTGTTTCTTTTATTATTACTTTAGATTATTCTCTTCAGTTTGTTACTGTATGTTATTCTCGTTTATTTGGATTCCTATAGAGCTTTTTCATGGCTGCTGCATGGAGGGCGCCATAGTGACCAGCGTCTTTCGGTAGAATGCTAAAAACGTCCGTTTACAGCGTGTACAACTGGTCATTTGCGCTCCGAAAATGGGTTTCAATAACGTTTTTAATGGATAACAGAGTGTTTTTGTGACACACAACTTAGAAATGTGTCTGTTAAAGCCGTTATAATCTGTCACGTGTGGTTCAAGCGCGTCAGAAATACGAGAAAAACGTTCTCCTAGTTCACGTGTCTGCTGTCAGAAATACAGTGCGTGTGTGCGTTCCCGGCCTGTCAGCTGTTAGCTCAGCGGCTCTTTAACACACGCACACACACACACATAGAGAGAGAGAGAGAGAGAGAGAGAGAGAGAGAGCAAACCAGAGTACTAGCATGAAACTTAACTGGAATGAAAGTCGTGCAATTTACAAAAATGAGCCGTTTGTGTTTTATTTCGTGTGTTGTTTTCACTACGGTTTGTGTTTTCTGTCATTTCGAAATGACACTAGCCTATATTTTCACTTTGTCACAGTTATTTAATCAGTGTGTCAGTGGCACAGTACAGGCTACGTGTGTGTGTCAAACATTTTGGTGAACTACATTAGTTTGGGCTGGTTATATATGTGAAATACAGAGAAAATGTTGACTTTAGCGATGACGAGGCTTCATTTAAACTGCAGAAGATGCCGTCTGACAACGAGGGGAAAACGCCTCACAGCAGCTGTTTTCCATCCTATTAGATCACATTTCTCTAAATGATCAGTCCAGGAGATGCTGCTGATGGACAACAGGATTAGTTCAAAGAGGATAAAAGCAGGTAAAATAGATTAAAACTATCGTTTCAAAGCTGTCCAAATGTGACTGTTTACACGCATCAGCTGCCGACCGGAAGGTCTTCGCATTCTCCTTGCGCATACACGCAAAGCATCATGGGTAATTTTGCGTTCCAAGAAAAAGGTCAATAACATCCTAAGTCTTGCACTAGCCGAGTATATACAATCACTTAAACACAAGCGTGTCAGTTTTGGTCACTAAAGAGTGGCGATTAACCGCTACCCTAAAAAGGCAGAACTCTGCTTACTCAGATTAGTCCCCATAGAGCTGCTATCTCCTAAATCAGAACAAAACTATTTCATCATTCCATGATCGTTACTATAGAATTAAGCAGACCAATCTTACTTAAACTATTAGTAACTTTGAGCAATCACTATATGATTTAAATAGTATTATAAGTTTAGAGATGAAGGTCTATCCCCTTAGATAGGCTTTTACAGTCTAAGTATACATGAACGGAGTATAACATAAAACGGAGGCAACAAATACTGGGTTAATGTTAATACCCAAACACAAACTGTATTATTCCCTTCAGTCTGTTCCTTACATTTGAGATGCAGGCTCTGGAGCTTATATTAAACTATGATTAATTCAACATGTCTCATGAAAAATATCACCAGTGTGCTTAATATGCCAATGAAAGGCACTTCAGTACTATTGCATTTCAGTAAAATGCATTTCAGACTAAAAAAACAGGTCTGTGAAACATTAAATATTTCATAAGTACCCGATTAAGCTAGGTCAAGATGTGCTTTGCTGTTAACCTGGCTTTCTTAATTCCACTTTTGTGTAATACTCCTCAACAATGGTGACAACAGAACAACAAAACAGCAACAAGAACAGAAACCGCAACAAAAAGATGTGCTGTGTGTCAGACTGACCGGTGTGGTTGACTGTGCTGGTCGATGCGCTGGCGTTGACCGTTTCTCTGCTCTCCTCTGTGAGAGTCTGAGCTTCTCCATCTGAACTCCTCACTGCCAAACACACACACACACAGTAGAGCAGATCTCAGACTCACTCAGGAAACACAAACGCCAGCAGAAAACAGAGCAAAACCTCCACGGCAGAAGAAGAGCATGAGGGTGCGAGAGACATGCAGAGTGACGGAGAGATGCAAAAGCCCACATGGTGCGGACTGGAGCCAATTTCAGAACTTTCATTCAATTCAAGACATGTTTGGTCAAAATAGAGACTGAGGCAGCTCGAGTCATCAATTTAATTTAATTCATGTTTATTTATATAGCGCTTTTCACAATTGTGTCAAAGCAGCTTATCATAGTTCTAGTGAAGTTCAATTTTCAGAGTTCAGTTCAGTTTAGTTCAGCTCATTGTGGTTTAATTTCACTGCTGAAAGTCCAAACACTGAAGAGCAAATCCATCCATGCCCAGCTCCACGAGTCCTGACTGGTGACTGGCGAGAAACAGAAATTCAATTCCCCAATTGACAAAGTGAAGAGAGAAAAAAAAACCTCGAGAGGAACTAGGCTCTGCTGGGCACGATCATTACTGTTCAGGCCAAACCTGCCTCATCCTGCAGAATCAGAGACCAGTTCAGCTCACACTGCTGGAATGAGGTAAAGGCCCTGTCTACACTTTCAGGTGTTGATGCCCAATTCCGATTTGTTGCCTATATCTGATTTGTTTGCCTGTCTGTTTACACATTGTTTTAATTGTGACCAGGGCCGGAGCAAGCTGAACTGCCGCTCTAGGCAGAGGACGATCACGCCGCCCTCAACCCCAATGTGAAAACGAAAGTGACCGGTTATGAAAATGAAGTGAGGTGTCACAGACCTCTATAACTGAGGATGCGCGGGTGCTAAGGGGGGTGTCGCGGACACCACCCTCTCTATTCTGCCGCCCTATGCGCGGATATAAATGAGGACGCACGGGTGTGGCGGACCTCTATATTGCCGCCCTATGCGCTGATATAACTGAGGACACGCGGATGCTGATAGAGGTGTCGCTGACGCCACCCTCTCTATTCTGTCGCTTATGCGTGAATATGTGTCGCGGACATAACCGAGGATGCAGGTGGTAAGGGAGGTGTCGCAGACGCCGCCTTCTCTATACTGCCACCCTAGGCGGCTGCCTAGGTCGCCTCTATGGACGTGCCGGCCCTGATTGTGACCCATATCAAATTCATGCGTTTACACTTCCTATACAATTAACGATGTCGCGCAAGCGTAAAGGCGGGTTTTAGCATCAGTGCCACACTAGCCACGATGGAAGAAATTGTCTTGTTTTTAGCTCTGCGAAATATACGAAGTGTAGTATAAGCAGTGAATGGTTTAGTCCAGATTTACCCCCACGCAGTTTATGTAATGGTATGGCCCTGATGTGTGTGTGGTTGGAAGATGTGGCCTTTGCCTGTGTGCGCACTGCTGTTGGAGAGATTAAAGTTGGTCTATGTTTGGCGACAAAAAGCAAAAGTTACAACACGAAGTTCGCCCAACTTTAAAATGATTTTGAGACAGGGGAGGGAAAGAGACGTCATCGCAGCTTGCGCTTATGGTTTATGTGCTGTATGATGTCCTCCACCATTCAGAGGAAAGTGTGGGTACGAGAGAGATCTCAGGTCTGGTGGAAGCAAATTGTGTTGACTGACCACTTGTTTCCTCTGTTATTGTTGTTTACCGTGTCGGTATCTCCACTCACGCTCTTCCTTCTACGTCATTAAACCGCGGAGAAGCAGCACATTGTTGCGAGTTTATTGATGAACAGAACGAAACGCCTCAATAAATCCGATCTGCCTGTTTACATGACAGTCGCATTGTCACAAATCCCATCTTATTTATTTCCACATATGAAGGAGGCCTGAAACCCATCTCTGAATATCCGAATGCATGCATTTTTTTCGTGTTTACACGCTCATAGAACAGATCCGATCAGTGTCACATGAGCAAAAAAATCAGAATTGGGTCACATTTGTAGTGTAAACGGGGCCAAAGTGAGCGAGTTCTGAATTGAGCTCCAGCATGACAGTAGCTGTGTTTCCATCCAAAAATGTGAATTCAATTTATGCGCAAAACTGGATTATTGCATGATAGATGTGCGAATAAGGCAGCGTTTCCAACCAACGAGTCAAAGAGAACAAAAACCTCACTTTTTAAAGCTGCGTCAATCTTTTCTTTCTTTAATAAATGACTTTCACCTCAGAAGACAGTATGCTGATGGACAATGAACGCATGGTGGCGTTTGAAGCCATGACATGCAGAGCACAGACGCTTTTGACAGTTCTGGAGGTCATTAATAATATAATAACACTAAAACTGATACGGTAAGGCATTTCAGAATGACCAAAACAACATTTCAGATGGTTTACAGAGTGCTCAGCCTGCTGGTTTGTCCATTAACATACATTTTTATCATCACATGATCTCTCATAACAAAATCACATGACCTGTTTTAATGCGCATACTGAAATTTGTGCGGTAAAAGTGTTACCATCGTAGCTTATGCGCATGTCTAAAACGTAATATCACATAAATATTTGCGAATAAACATCATTTCCATCTGAAGCCTGTTTCACACCACAAGTGTAAGCAGAGCGTGAGTCGTGCATGTTTTTTCAGCGTCCATGTTAACAGATTATGCTGCGTTCACACCACATGCAGAACGTGCAGATAAATTGCGATATTCGCACGTAAAATAGCCGCGTGAACATTTGACCCCGCTTCATTCGCGCGTCAAATTCACTTCAGAACAGACGCGGTTTCAGATGGGCAGGGCTTCTGTCTGCCCGGTGACTCTAGCTTTATTGCTAAATGGCTAACATGGATTTTATGAAGACAATAACTGTTTATGTGCTTTATAAAGGCTGAAAGACAGCGTCGATACGTTTAGGGCCGTGTCTGAGTCCACTACATCCTTTCAGAGGTGCATCCAGCTCTAAGAGCTCATAAACTCCTCCAGAAACTGAACCTGGATGACGGAGGCTTTCAGGGGTGCTTCTGACTGAGCCAAGCCCAGTTAGATGAACTGTTGTCGGTGTCGGCTGGAGGATTTCCCCCGGAACACCATTAACAGGTTCTACGTCACAATCACGCCCCGACAAGAGCAAGCTCCTGATTGGTTGAGGCGGCGCGAATGTCCACTGAAGTTTAGATTTTCAATCTCGAGTGATTCGCGCGAAACGCGTTAAGCGTGTCAAACGCGCAAAACGCTCAATTCGCGCCACGGCATTCGCATGTATCGCACGATACGCACAGCGCCATTCGTGTAATTCGCGTCATTCGTGCCGCGCCATTTGCGCGTATCGCGCCGCAGGATGTCTATTTGCGCATTTGCATTGACTTAACATGTAAATCACTCGTGATTGATGTGCGTTTCGCGTCTGGTGTGAACGCAGCATTAGAGTTTTCATACTGCACGCAAAAGCAGCACGTCAGCGCAAGAGCGTCCCTAAACCAGCAGTGTCGTTATATGATAGTTTTGTTGCTCACTTTCAGTTCAGGTCTACCTTAGAATTTTTTCAAAAGATGCATCATAGTGGGCGTGGAGCTCCACGAGCAATGAGCGGGAGTGGGCGTGGCCAGCAGAGCAGGGGAGAAGGAGGGGAGCGAAAAACTGTTGTCAGTCAACTCACAAAATGAGACACAAACCGTGAGCAGACGCATGATTTTATAGTGTCACATGACCCTCTTCCTATTGAAAAAACTAAAGTTGGATCCAAGATGGCTGACTTCAAAACAGCCACCATGGTCACCATCCATCTAGAAAAGTTTGCCCCCTCACATATACTAATGTGCCACAAACAGGACGCTAACATCACCAACCATTCCCATTTTATTAAAGGTGTATCAATATAAATGGCCCACCCTGTATCTATACTTTTGTGAGGTTACTCTTGGATTTGGATAGCCCCAGGGCCCAATGTGTTCTTAATCCGGCCCTGACCATCATGCACATTTACATCTGTCAATAACTAAATCACATCACAGAAACTGATGATGCGCATGCGCAGAGTTTATTCACTACATGTGTTCACATCAGAGTTTATGTGCATTTTTTATCAGATAATAAGTTTCTCCTTCTCAATTGTGCGCACAGGTTTTTTGATGAAAGGAAATTGATGAACACTTTGGGATTTCCATCAAGCATTCATATGCAATAATCCAAAATGCGCATAAAGAGGTGGATGGAAACACAGCTGCAGACACACACAGCAGTACTTACAGCAGCGCGTCTGGCCGGAGGAGGTAAAGTAGGAGAAGAGAGAGTCAAGCTCATCTACACAGAAGAGAGACTCGAGGTGCACTTCAACACAACACAACACAACAGCAGGAGCAGGTTAACAGCATCGCAAACACACACTGACTACAACAACATCCATCTGTGTGTGAGGAGACACGGACTTGAGGACGCGTGCTTAAGTGTCTCTGATTGCCTGCTTTAAAAGCTTCTCTTTTTGTCGCTCTCCTACAGGAGGTTCACATCCATACTAGGTCAAAAACACTTTCATTTTGATTGAACTCTGCTCTGATTGGCTAAATGGGACTGGTCGGATTGATCTATACTGCTCTGATTGGTCAGATAGGTCTACTCTGTTATGATTGGTCACATAATTATAATCTGATCAGATTGGTTAGTTGGAACTGGATGAATTGCTCTTTTATGTTCTGATTGGTCATACGGGTCTACTTCGTTATGACTTGTCACATGACCACACTCTAATATGCTCTGATTGGTCAAATGGGACTGGGTGGATTTCCGTATTCTGCTCTGATTGGTCTACTGTTATGATTGGTCAAATGACCCTACTTTAATCTGCTCTGATTGATCAGTTGGGACTGGTAAGACTACTGATTGGTCAGATATGGTTACTCTGTATTCACTGCTCACATGACTCTATTCTACTCTGACTGGTCAGATGGGTCTACTCTACCATTGGCCACACAACACTAATATGCTCTGATTGGTCAGATTGGAACAACTGGATTGTTGCTCCGTTCTGTTCTGATTGGTCAGATGAGTCTACTGTGTTATTGGTCACATGACCCAACTCTATTCTGACTGGTCAGATTGGTCTACTCTACGATTGGTCATATAACAATAATATGCTCCGATTGGACTGGTCGAACTGCTGCTCTGTTCTGATTGGTCACATGACCCTACTCTAATCTGCTCTGACTGATCAGTAGGGATTGGTCAGACAAATCTACAAAGTTATAACTGGTTAAATTGCTCTATTCTGCTGACTATTCTGGTCAATAGGGACAGGTTAGATTGCTTTATTCTGTTCTGATTAGTCAGATAAATCTGCTCTGGTATGACTGGTCACATGACCCAACTCTAGTCTCCTTGGATTGGTCGAATTGCTCTATTTTGCTCTGAATGGTCTAATAATTCTAACATGCTCTGATTGGTCAGATGGGACTGGTCAAATTGCTTTATTCTGTTCTGATTGGTCAGATGAATCTACTCTGTTGTGATTGGTCACATGACTCTATTCTGCTCTGATTGGTCAGCTGGGACTGGTCAGATTACTGTATTCCGTTCCGATTGGTCAGATGAATCTACTCTGGTATGATTGGTCACAAGACTCTATTCTAGGTCTGGTTAAATTGCTTTATTCTGCTCACATTGGTTAGTAGGGACAGGTTAGACTGCTTTATTCTGTTCTGATTGGCCGGGTAAATCTACTGTTTTGACCGGTCACATGACCCAACTCTAGTTTTCTTGGATGGGTCAGACTAGTCTAATTGCTCTATTTAGCTCAGACTGTGTAGATGGGTCTACTCTGCTATGATTGGTCAAATAATTCTAGTATGCTCTGATTGGTCAGATGGAACTGGTCAAATTGCTCCGTTCTGATTGGTCAGATAGCTCTACTCTGTTATGAATGGTTAAATGACCCTACTCTAACCTGATCAGATTGTTCAATTGGGACTAGATAAATTCCTCATATCCTGATTGGTTAAATGGCTCTATTCTGTTATGACTGGTCACATGACCATACACTGATATACTCTGATTGATCAGATGGGACTGGCTGGTCTCAGTTTAAGATTAAATACTGAAGATTATATCACAATAGGCAATATTTGAAAATAAACTAAAACTAATATCTATAAAAAAGCATAATGGAACACTCTAGTAGCAAGTAAACAGAGTCACGGAAAGATGAGCAAAGGTCAAAGGGTTTAATAGCAGGAAAGATCAGACCTGACACCTGATGAAGAACTGCTCACCTGAGGAACTGGAGGCTAGCCGGGGTTTGGACACTGATCTTGTCGTCTGTGTGTCCGAGCAGCCACTAGGATGTTTATCTTCCTTACTCAGTAATAAAACCTTCTGTCTGATCTCGTCTTCGGACCGTCTTTGCACAAACCTTCGCTCCACGTACTTGGCTTTGATGTAGGCCTCCACTTCATGCCTGCGCACCACAACACACACACACGCAAATGAAACAACTACTCTTGAAAAGGCTGATGTACAGTAATAGAGGTGGAAAGGAGTCTCAGGTTAACCTAATGCAATACATGTTCAGAGTAAACTGCGAAAGGATTTTAAAGTACAGTAGGTAACACTTCAGATTAAAGTCTCGTTAATAAGTGTTAGTAATAGTCCAGTCTAGTTGAGAGTACCTGGGATCTCCTGCGTTTGGTTTCCTGGCTCCTAGTTCTTCTCGTCGGGCCTCGTAGATTTGATTTATGACCCCATTTCCCAGCTCACACATCAGCTAAACAGCACCAAATAAGACTGAATCAGTCCACAAATAACAACTTTAATAACAACACGTTCACTGTGTTTGAACAGATGAGGCCTGGAAATGATCTCTGAATGCACATGTGAGGATGAGCAGGTGTATACGATGAAAGAGATGCTGTTCTCGGAGACATCTGGACCCACCTTCACATACTTAAACAAACATCTGTCAATTCATATCCAGATGTTGACGATATCAGAAGTGAAGTCTCGTGTATATCAGACTCACCTTCAGCAGTTCAGGCTCCCAAGTGTCCAGAGTCAGAGATCTGACCTTCGAGAAATGAACGCCAAGACTCCTACAAACACAAAACCAAAATTAAATATAAGTCCTAGATTATTAAGTGCACAATATATTCAAAAAGAGGGAAACCGATATACCAGCTATGGTCATATTAGTTATTTAAATACTGTAGTGTAGGGACTATACTATTAACTAGCGACTTGTTATTAAAATATTAACTGTTTATAAGCACTTACAGTGCATCTGGAAAGTATTCACAGAGCTTTTCCACATTTTTTATGCTACAGCCTTATTCCAAAATGGATTAAATTCATTGATTTCCTCAACATTCTACACACAATCCCCCATTATGACAATGTAATAATAAATAAAAAAACTGAGAAATCTAATGTACATCAGTATTGACAGCCTTTGGAAGCTCTAAATTGAGCTCAGGTTCATTCTGTCTCCACTGATCATTCTTGAGATGTTTAAGCAGCTTCATAGGAGTTCACTTGTGGTCAATTCAGCTGATTGGACATGATCTGAAAAGGCACCTGTCTATATAAGAGCCCAGGGTTGACAGTGCATGTCAAAGCACAAACCAAGCATGAAGACAAAGGAACTGTCTGTAGACCTCAGAGACAGAATTGTGGAGGCACAAGGCTGGGGAAGCTTACAGAAACATTTCTGCTGCTCTGAAAGTTCAGCACAGCGTCCTCCATCATCCGTAAGTGGAAGATGTTTAACCACCAGGACTCTTCCTAGAGCTGGCTGGCCATCTAAGCTGAGCGATCGGGGGAGAAGAGCCTTAGTCAGGGAGGTGATCAATAACCCGATGGTCACTCTGTCTGAGCTCCAGCGTTCTTCTGTGGAGAGAGGAGAACCTTACAGAAGGACAACCATCTGTGCAGCAATCCACCAATCAGGCATCTGTATGGTAGAGCGGCCAGAAGGAAGACACGCCCCGCCTGGAGTTTACCAAAGGAGACTCTCAGAGCATCAGAAACTAAACTCTCTGCTCTGATCAGACTCAAACTGAAGTGTTTGGAGTGAACGCCAGGCGTTACGTTTGGAGAACAGCAGGCAGCGCTCATCACCAGGCTAACAGCATCCCTACAGTGAAGCATGGTGGTGTTGGCATCATGCTGTGGGGATGTGTTTCAGCAGCAGGAACTGGAAGACTAGTCAGGATAGAGGGAATATCCACCAATCAGTGAGCGGCTGATTACCTGTGTATGCCGGAGCACTGTATGCAGAGCGTGATGCCCAGGTTGATGCTGGCCCAGCGGGGCTCCGGCTGGCCACAGTCACAGCAGCTGCTGTTCCCAGAGATGGCCATGACCCTCTGCAGAGCGTTCTCACCCTTCACACACTTCTCCTTCACATCTCCAGCTGAGTCCAGACTGCCTGTAGATGTAGATGACTTTCTGTCCATCTTCTGCCACACACACACACACACACACACACACACACACACACACACACACACACACACACACACACACACACACACACACACACACACACACACACACACACACACACACACACACACACACACACACACACTTTATTCAAATGACTTACAAATCTATCAACCCCTAGTATATACAGTATAATGGCTGTGGTGTGGTAGAGTGAGAGAAGACGGGTCCTAGTTTTAAGCATGGGATCTAGAGAGTGAAGTGTACCTCTGCATCATCTGCTTTGTCTCTGAACGCTGTGGCGATGCTGTTCTGGACGGCTTTAATCCAGGCCTGGCGAAGTTTCTCCGAGTCTGCCTGCATCATGCAGCTCCTGTAGTGGAGACGAAACCAGCTTTCAGTACAGTCTGTCATTATACCGTCACACTGTTCAACACGGCTGCATTCATTTAAATGTGGCAGTAGCCTTATTAGGGTCTTCTCCTGTCTGGGGGTTTTTATTTAACCCATCTACAACCCTTTCATTACATTCGGGATAAAAACATCCACTAAGTTAAACCTTTAAAAATGCGTCAGATAAATATTTCCTGTAAAAAATCAACTTCAATTCTGATAATAATAAAACAAAAAAATCCAGGATTTTGACTGTTTAATTTTTAAGTTTGTAAACGATGTCACTGATTAAAAGGGCCATGACAGCCTCCTCTTTCCGTTCAGGTCTACCTCAGAATTTTTTCAAAAGATGCATGATAATGGGCGGAGCTCCGCGATCAGAGGCAGGAGTGGGCGTGGCCAGCAGAGCAGGGGAGAAGGAGGAGGAGGAGAGCGAACAACTGTTGTCAGTCGGCTCGCAAAATAAGACACACACCGTAAGCAGATGCATGATGTTATAGTTTACAAAGGTAAAATGCAAAGATAAACAGTAATTTAATGCCCTGCTACATTTGTTATTCGTAATTTTCATACACAGATAATCATAATTTATATCATTATAAAGATAAGTGTGTTCATATAAACACTATAAATGAGGACTTCCCCGTCAATCTCCGGGTCTGAATGCAGACTCAGTGCAGCAGGTCTCTTGCCCTGTCTATTTTAACCATTAGCTCTGCTGGTAATCTGGAGGATTTAGGCGAACACAGCAGCACGGCGATGTGTCTAAATGTGAATGAACTCCTGATAAAACACAATGGCTGCGTCCGAAACCGCCTACTACTCAGTAGGTACTGCATTTGAATTTAAACGTACTACTTGGTCGTTAGAAAACTACGTTCTATACAGTATGAATGTGAAAAGTATGAATGGAATTCGGACGTACTACATCCGCCATTTTGTCATGGTCACGTGACCTACCTGCGTCAATTGCGTCGCTTTACTCCCATTCATGAATTCGCACACAGGGCATCATGGGATAGCACAGCGTGCATGGGATGCGCACTCTAGAATCTCGCCGGAAGTAGTAAGTCATCCGGGCACTTCTCGCATACTGATTTTCGAATTCTATGAATTCGGACATACTACTCGGCTCACATACTGATTTTAGCGTACTATATAGTATGGAAGTATGCGGTTTCGGACACAGCGAATGCCTTAATCTCTCTGTAAATAAACTCAGAGTTCAAGTTTAAACTCTGAGTTGGTTGAACCTCCTTACTGAAACAGGCCCAGAACTAATTCCAAGTAATATATACTATCCCCGATATCCCTCACACCCTTTATTGTTGTCTATTTATTTAATTGAATCTTATTTTATTCAATTTTGCTGTTTGTTTTTATATTCAATTAAATTTTTACGTTTTATTATTATGTTTTTTTTCTCATGTCCTTCCTATTGTTATTATTGTTACTGTCAATATTCATATTAGCCAAGGTATTCAGAGTTTGTTGCAGTGGGTTTAAAAGATAATAATAATAATACTAATCAGTCTCTGGATAAACAATGGCATCTGCACTTCGCATGAAAATAAAGAGGAAGAATAATAAATAAAAACACTGAACCGGACGTGCTTTCACTCACTTTGTCGGAGAAACAACTTCGAAACAGAATCTGCGCTCGATGTCCTCGCAGTGTTTGACAGTACACAACCTCAGATCCTCCACCACCACTGTAGGGTTATCCTGAAAACAAAGAAAGAGCATTGCTCGACCTATTTTGACATTTTTGAAACGTTGATTGTTGTTTTATTTGATTTCTCTTTTACCTTAAACTTCTTTTGGTACACCAGCTGATTGTTCTGAATGGAAAACCACCGCCTGCGAAGGAAAACAAGACGAGAAACAAGCTAAACCACTGCAATTTATTCATCAAAATGTAATCAGACACCTTCAACGTTTCCCATATTTTCGATATTTAAAAAAAAAGGATAATAATATATGAAATAAACAAATTAATCAACAAATTGTGATCAATACTTACTTCCACTACTCTATATATTGTATATAAAGCTCCATTAACAAAAACAAACGCTGATGACTGGTTTTGTGGTCCAGGGTCGCAAATATAAACACAATGATATCTGGTGTCTGAATTACTTTTGGTTTGACTGTGTTTGTGTCGCTGCAGCTGTAGATGTTCAGTGACTGACCTGTTCCAGGTTTTGAAGGCGTTGCTGGCCCTCTTGAACAGATATCCCTCCATGACGATCCCGTTCTCCGCATCCACATTATACTCCAGCTTGGTGTCGTCATTTGAAAATTCCTGAACAGAACAAACATTTGTAAGTCATTTAAACACTTTGAAGCTCAATCTCTATTTATATTGATTTTACAGAAAGGAGAGGCAAGAACCCAAAATAAAACACTCTCCAAAAGCTCTATTAGCACAAACAGTAAAATCATGACAGACTTTTGTTATGAGGCAATTAGTTCATAATAGAATACGGAAGTAACTGAAACTGTAATTCATCGACCAACCTTTGGGGACTGGCTTCAGGAACTTCAGATGTTTACTGACTGCAAAGCTAAACTGGCCATTACAGCTGATAAAAACATGTACAAATGATGGTTTTGGTGTATATAGCTAAAATTAGCCTTTATGACAACTGTGACAACTCATCTGTTTTCTTTATATTAGGTTATATTATGTTGCATAATTAAGGGCGTGGCCACTTGAGTGACAGCTAGGCCTCGCTGTTTACTGTCACTTCACCTCAGCTGATTCCGGCTGATTAGCTGCTGAACTCGGCATATATGCATCATATTTTTGTATTGTTTTATGTCGATTTACACAGTCAGTAGCCTTTTGGGATTATTTCCTACAAATATTAGATGATATGGCATGCGGTGTGCACTTAATTGTGCTCACAAACCATTCATGTGGCCTCCTTTTCCAAGGTGAGTGAAATGATATACTTATACACCATCTCTATACATGTATTTGTTTTATTTAGGATAATTTATCATTAATAATGTTTTTAGAGCTGTAAAGCACTTCAGAATCTGTCAGATTGATTAGCTGTGGGCTCTAGAACTGTCATCTGAACCATTTTAATACAGTGTTATGCCTGGATTTCATAATAAGCCCAGCATTTACTAACACAGACTATATCTGAAGTATTTGGAAGCCATTTTCCTTTTCCTCCTATATAAAATGTCGAAAGAACAATGCTTAGTGGCTTAGTGCATTGCAAATCTTTATTGATATAGTTAACAACGAAGCACATGTGGTCAGAACACAAACGAGTAGCAGGTAACGAAGCACTAAGCGTTTCTCCCAAAGAAAAGCCTGTCTAAGCAAAATGCTAGCAGGTGTCTGTAGCTCCGCTTAAGCTTCGCCTCTTTGCCTTTGTTTGGTATCCCCCGGTTAGTGTGATGATGCGCGAACAAAATGGCGACGGCTTCTTTTGCGTTCTTCAGAAACCTATGGGTGACGTCACGGATACCACGTCCATATATTTACAGTCTATAGGTTCCACAAAAAGCTTTGCATTGTAAACGCTTTGCCTAATTCCAGCTTTCTGTGGATGTGATGTGAGAGCGGCTGAGCTCAGACTAGTTTAGTTCAGCTCAGCTGAGCTCAGACTAGCAGAGTCCCGGTAACACTAGAGCTGTCACTGGATCCTGCGGCGCTTCACCCTGGAGTGAAACCCCAAACAATTGAAGACTGATAAGAGCGACACACTAGTAGATGAGGATGGTTTACTCTGTAAACTGCTCTAAACCACACATCACCCATTTTTCCTACTAAAACTACATGATTTTTGCTAGGCGTAAGTAAAATATTCAAGACTTAATGTAATGACTTGATCTAATATAATGATTTTATATTATTATTATTATCATTATTTATGCCGGGATTTTTTAGCTTGTTTTAAGGGAAAACTCACTTTATTTTGGCTTATTTTTTTTCTTTTGCTTGTCTAAGAATGTTTAGATGATTAAACAACAAACAAGACATAAAATCTAAGTAAGAAAAGCCTGTTTGCAGCGTATAAGCCCTGAATTATACGCTTCTTCGCCCACTTTCTGTTTAACGGACTTCGACTAAGGTCATCTCCAGTTCACAGAGGAGAAATCAACCTATGAATTGGAAATGACCCAATTATCCATTTAACCCATTTAGCGGACACTTCATTCCAGGTACTTGGAGAGCACGTAATAGGAGAGTTGTGTTTCATTTCAGGGCTTTGAAAGTGGTTAACGAGAGTTTTGCCTGAAGTGAACTCAAACTAGATGAAATATTGCGTAAAACACTCGCGAATGAAGCAACGTTTCTATCTAATAAGGATCCTAATCCTAATAAACTGGAGCAAATATCAGCCAGAGAAGTGTATTTTGCTGCACTGTTTGGATTTGCCACTGTGGTGTCATGTCTTCTCTAATCAATGAGCTGTGCCTCAGAAGAGGAAGACGAAACGCAATGAACGCAGAGACTGCGATGGCTTTAAGAGACGTGAGACGCTCATTGGAAGCGCAGACAGATGCTCAAGACAGTTCTGGAGAGAATAACAATAATAATACTGAAGCACTGTGATGACAGCTGAAGCTGTTTACAATCAGCACAACAACATTTCAGATCTGCAACAATAGAAAGCGAACTCCTGTAATCCAAAGTCCCTGAAACACACATTTAAATTAGACCATGATCTGAAAAATAGCATCACGTAGAAAGAGTTTATGCACTAAATGTATTTCCATCATAGTTTATCCATCATCACTTTGTCTTTTTGGATTAAAAGTGTAGCCTACTCATACGTTTTCATGCACATTTTAAAAATCTATGCACATCTTGGCATTTCTGTTACTCATTTAATTTGCGATACTGTAAAACTGAGCATAGTAATAGCTTGTATAAATGCTGACGCTGCTCTTTTTGGCTTCTGATCCACCCACAATAGTGAAGTACTACAGTCTCTGTGACCTTTTGTTTGTTTGTTTACAGTAGGATGAGCAGGACAGACATGACAGCACCAACTGTTATTAAAAAGAAGATTTGGTTTCTCTGTAACCCGATCAAGCATCCATGAGTTGCTATGTGAGCCTCGTCACACGCTTCATATATTTAGGGTGCCAAGAAAAAAAATGATTGAGCTACAGCTGCTAACAAAACTATACCATTAGATTAGCAATTACAACTATAAGAGCTGTAGGTGAAGGTCACACACACACACACACACAAATACAACGCTCAGCAAAAATGAGTACACCCCTCCTTTTGAAAATGAATATTAGTATGCATTTCACAGTGAATATAGATCATTTATAGTGCTGCATTTGAACAAAACCATTTTTATTAAACAGTTATAGAGTAGCGTTTTGCTCACTAAACCTCTTTTTGGTCACTAAACATACATTTAAATTTAAATTAATTCATTATTAATTTTGGTGTATTTAATTTTCAGATCTTTGTTATTTTGTTAGATTTGCTCTACTTTTGGCTCTGGCACTGACTAATCTAATGTATATATGGGCATAAATTATTGTAGAGCATCCTAATATCAATAATAATTGAATTGAATTTAATTTAAAATGTAAGAACATTAGTTTAAAAGAGAGATCTGCGTGGGAGGTACCCACTTATCCTGGACACAAAACTAACCTGTAGTATTTTTATTTCATTAATTTCAGCTATAATATGCCAATCTGCTCTTTATAAACAGATATACGTCTGTGCTGCAAAGCTTTAAACACTTAAAACAGTTTAGGTCTGCCTTTTTTTTTTTTACCCAACAATAAATAAATAAATAAATGTTCACATGAACAGCACCAGCTACTTTTTTGCCAACTGATAATTAGCATTGTTTTACCCAATATTAAATAAATAAATAAATTAGTAAATGAATGAATAAATAAATAAATAAATAAATAAATGTTGACATGAACAGCACCAGTTACTTTTGTTTTTACAAACTGTAATTAGCATTGTTTTATCCTATATTAAATAAATAAATAAATTAGTAAATGATTGAATAAATAAATAAATAAATGTTCACATGAACAGCACCAGTTACTTTTTTGCAAACAGTTAATTAACATTGTTTTACCTAATATTAAATAAATAAATAAATAAATAAATAAATAAATAAATATTCATGTGAACAGCATCAGTTACTTTTTTTGCAAACTAATAATTAGCATTTTTTTACCCAATATTAAATAAATAAACAAACAAACAAACAAGTAAATAAATAAATAAATAAATAAATATTTACATGAACAGCACCAGTTACTTTTTTGCAAACAGTTAATTAACATTGTTTTACCCAATATTAAATAAATAAATAAATAATAAATATTCATGTGAACAGCATCAGTTACTTTTTTTGTAAACTAATAATTAGCATTGTTTTACCCAATATTAAACAAATAAACAAACAAATAAATAAATAAGTAAATAAATAAATATTTACGTGAACAGCACCAGTTACTTTTTTGCTAACTGATAATTAGCATTGTTTTAACCAATATTAAATAAATAAATAAACAAATAAATTTAAAAAATAAAAATTTATAAATATTCACATGAACAGCACCAGTTACTTTTTTGCCAACTCATAATTATGATTGTTTTACTTAATAATTAGTAAAAAAAAAAAAAAAAAATTAGTTAATAAATATTCATGTAAACAGCACCATTTACTTTTTTGCCAACTTATAACTATCATTGTTTTACCCAATATTAAGTTAAGAAATACATTAATATTCACATAAACAGCATCAGTTACTTTTTTTTGGCAAACTGATAATTATCATTGTTTTGCCCAATATTAAATATTTAAAAAATAATAAATAAATAAATATTCATGTGAACAGCACCAGTTCTTTTTTTGCCAACTTATAATTATCATTGTTTTACCCAATATTAAATAAGTTTTAAAATAATAATAATAATTAAAAAACAAATAATAAATAAATAAATAAATATTCACGTAAACGGCATCAGTTACTTTTTTGGCAAACTGACAATTATCATTGTTTTGCCCAATATTAAATATTTAAAAAGTAATAAATAAATAAATATTCATGTAAACAGCACCAGTTCTTTTTTTTGCCAACTTATAATTATCATTGTTTTACCCAATATTAAGTAAATAAATAAATAAATAAATCGAACAGCACCAGTTACTTTCTTTGCCAATTTATTATCACAATTATTTGACCCAATGACACTTAAATCGCAGCTCCAACTTCTGTTTAACAGCACACGTAAAACAAAAGTACCCATGTAGCATATACACAATTACAGAAGACATTATCTTCATGAAAACCCGATAATAATGATGCTACATGAACACAAACATCAGAGCCAGCAGACAAACAACACACACACTTCATCAGCATTCAAGACTGATTATAACACACACTATTAAAAACATTACTGACTCACCAGATACCACACATAGTGGAACCTGCTGAAGATCTTCATGCTGAACAGAGCAGTGTGTATGTGTGTGTGTCAGCAGTGACGCTCCATGTAACTTCCAGACATACTGTGACAGTCCTGTCCGTGTCGTCTATTACTCAAATGTGCCACGACTCATTCAAAAACGTGTGTGTGTGTGTGTTTGTGTGCATACATGTATATGAAGACCGAGCAATAGCCTTGGTTATACTTCTGCAAACTCCTCCCCTCCAGAAAGCTCTAGTGTGTGTGTGTGTGTGTGTGTGTGTGTGTGTGTGTGTGTGTGTGTAGGCAACGAAAGAATTCATTAAGTGTGGCTCATGGGTTGTACTCACCAATCCAAGAAGAGCATTAACTATTTAGAGCGACTCTGTGTGGAGTGTGTGTGTTCTTCGACAGCAGTAATACTGATGAATTTACAAGCACCGTCTACTGCAGTTTCCAGATCAGTTGTTAAACAAGTTGCTGTGTTGCTAGGCTCTTTGTAATGAATTAAAGTAGCTCCTATGCCTTTGCAATAGGTAACTGTTTGCCACATTTAGCACAAGAGCTTCTGTTTAATCCTTCATATAATCGCCAGATGCTGTCCGCCGTGCAAGTGGCAGCTATATGTCAAATTGAACACCACGTACACCATCGCAAACAGGCTTACACTGAGTAAACTAACATCGCTACTCATGAAAAGTATTGCTATTAACATGATGTATGCATATAATAAGGTACAGTATATGTCAAAAGCATCCGTGTAATATCAAACAGCACCCGTGAGAACAGCACAGTTATACCATTATAGATTCCTTCATGTCCAGCAGTGCGTGCAGGGCCGGTGAGCGCTCCGTGTATCTTTTGGTCACTCAGTTATGCTATAAAAATCGATTTTCTTGTGATAACGGGATTTCCGTGAGAAATATTTTCCTCACGTATGCGCACATATATATATATATATATATATATATATATATATATATATATATATATATATACACATATATATATATATATATATATATATATATATATATATATATATATTTTATTTATTTATTTTTTTTGCTTGTTAGTTTGATTACTGTTGATTTCAAATGCAATAAATATGTTTGTATAAAACTTGTACTAACGTTGCTTATAATTGGTGGGTGCGACTAAATTTTGGCTGATGCGCCTACATTTTTAAAGTTAGGAGCACCGGTGCTACCAAGCAAAAAGGTTAATTTCGAGCCCTGCAATATATAGTTAATAACAAAAGATATACCAAAAATTTACTCTCCGGAGAAAGTCTTTTACCTTCTGCTGAATAGTCGAGTGTTTGGTTTCCATGTCCTTCCTCTCTTTTGTGGCGTCCAGCACCAACTGGTCCAGCTGAAAGACACAATTAGGATTTAGCGATAATTAGGAAGAAAGCACCGATCCATGGGCTTGAAGAAGGAGCATAAAGGTTTGATTTGGTTTTGGGGGTTTTTCCCTAGCCAGAAAAGTAACTTGGTTATTAAATTAATAGACTATTATAGGGTCGGGTTGATTAGTTATATAATTAATTATCAGTAATATTAATTATGCTAAAGTTAACAGTGAAGTTAATTCAATATTTATAATCGTATGAGCTTAATCTGCTACAAGTGTTTAGGTGTATGTAGTGTGTTATATGATTATCTCTACACCAGTGGTCAGACATAGGATTCCCCAACAGATCTCAGGTCAGAGCACTCTTAAATCTGTATTTTAGATTTGCACTTGCTTGTCTGGCAAAACAAGCCTTGCTGGCTAATAATAGCCAAAATTAAAATCACTAAAAAGTCGGACTCTGCTTAAAGGTAGAGTTCTTTTGATTCATTTTCAGGAATTACATCTATTAATATTGATCCTTCTCCGTTAATTGGCCTGTTTGGAGTTCTTCCCCCTGACTGTGAGTTACCATTTTATTTTTCTGAATTAATAGCTTTTCTGTCATTATTAGCTAGGCGGTGCATCTTGTTGCAGTGGAAGTCTCCTCAACCTCCATCCCATACTCAGTGGATTAAAGATGCCTTATTTTTTTGTTAAATTAGAAAAAATTAAACATAGTCTTCGAGGTTCAGTGGTCAAATTTTCTAATATTTGGTTGCCTTTTTTGGAACATGTTAAATCTCTGAGACTTGAGGCAATTACTGTGGAGTGAATGGTTGCCATTCTTGCATTTTTGTTTTGATCTGTGCTTCCAGTTGAGTATTAGTGCTGCTGATATAGCACGAACATACAACTTTTTCTTGACATAAAACCATAAGTTAAGAATGTGCCACCCCCCAGCCTATTTACTTTAATACATTTTCCCTTTTTTCTCGCTTTTTAAAAAAAATTTCTTTTCTATTTTTTTCTGTTTGTTTATTTTATTTTATTTTATTATTACTGTTTATTTTACTTAATACACCATGCTGTCAACCTCAACGTCTCGTACAGACCTGTTTATATGCTCAATTTGAAAATTGATTTATACACATCATATAGTGTTTATGCATGTCATATACTGTGTGTCGCACAATATGAGGGTTATAGTGTGGTTTATTTATTTATTTTTATTTTTTTTATCAATGTTGTACTGTTATATATATATATTTTTTTCTGTTTGTACTGTTATTGTCTCTTTTTACTTTGTTTGTTAACTGTCAAAAAAAAGGTATAGTTCACCTAAAAATGGTCAGTATTTACTCTTTACTCATTTCAAACCTTTAAAAATGTCTTTATTGAAATGATAAGATATTTTGAAGAATGTTGGAAACCTGTAACCATTGACCTTCATAGTATTTGTTTTTCCTACTATAGATGTTAATGGGTTTTAACTTTCTTCAAATAATCCTCTTTTGTTTTCAACAGATGAAAGCAACCCATAATGCCTTGGAAATGCTTGAGGGAGAGAAAACAGTGAGTACATAAAAATGTTGGGGTGAACTATCCCTTTAAGTGGAAGTCCGAAAAACGGCTTCTTATTTTTCGTTTGTTTTATAAACGATAATTCTTGGAAAACCTGCATTTACTGAAAGAGGAAGTCTAATTTTAAACAACTTGTAGACATGGACAAGTCATGCGAATGTCATTGGATCTTTATAATTAACAGTTTACAGCTATTCTCATTTGTAAAATAGCTTCTCAAACAAAATTTACGGTGCATCCGGAAAGTTTTGATAGCGCTAAATTTTACCACATGTTTTTATGTTACAGTCTTATTCTAAAATGAATTAAATTCATTTATTTACTCAACATTCTACACACAATCCCCCACAATGATAATGTGAAGAAAGAGTTTGTAAATGTAGCAATTGTTCTGTAATACCACAAATTACATTAGGACTGGTGAAATAAAGAACTACAACTCTGTGAAAACCAAACAGCAACAATAAAAAGGAATTTCAATGAGCATGTTACATGGACATGGACATCGGCAGAGCCAGAGATATACACATATACACATATATCTGTGATCGGGAGTTTTCCTGGATGTTAGTATGACATTTTTTTTAATTACGAAAATTAAAATTTTACATCACTTTTCTGCATTGATGGATCAGTGACCGCACGGACATTCCTGACAAAAAGCTTGTGTTTGTGTGTATGGAAATGTACTATTCACCCTCCCTGTTAAATTTGATCTAATCATGTCCTGAAACACAGCTCCTCTCCTGCTTTCACTCCTCATACTGACGGAGGGAGCGACTCGTTTGTGAATGAATCTCCGTTATGAACGACTCGTTCACTAGCCGACAATAATACAAGTTTCCGGCAGCGCAGCATCTCATTGTCATATTTTTTTTATGAACTGTTATCATCAATAACGCTACCTGATTAGCACAAATTTCAGAACATACAAAAACAGAAAAAAACTTAATATTACCTATGAAATATTCAGCCTTTGTGCTTTGTTTTCTTTGTTTGCTCGTTACTACACTCGTAGACAGCGCTGAAGTCCCGCATCTTCACGTAATAACACTGTCTTGACTAGTGTGGTTGAATCACACTAGTCCTGGGAGCACTGTACCAATATGGCGGCGCTATTGACGCATGCTCAGGGTCCCTATGCGATATCTAGTGTATATATCTATGTCACAAATTGAGGAGCGGGGAAAGGAGGCGGGGTGGAGCGACAACGCGGGGAATCCTTCACAAACTGAGGAGCAATCACAATCCGAAAGCGTCGAGAGCGTCAAAATAGCCAGAAGTCATTCATTTTTTAACGAGAACCGGCGGCGAGAAACAGCGGCGCGTCTTCATTGGCTATGATGCGGTTCGGCGGCAAGCAATCAGAATGAAGTAGTCCACCGCTTGAGAGGTGTTCAGAGAAGACAGACCTGTAAACTTTGGTTCCGACCACAGTTGTTCCCAAGAGTTTGATTATTGCGGTTCCTGGAATTTCAATTATTGAAAATCGCGACGACGTGAGGCCCCCTAAACACGCGGGCCCGCCAAGCGGTGCGTCCCCTGCGGGCCCGTCCGCTACACCACTGGACATCGGAAAAATAGACCTGTGCTAAAATATTTAAAGGGTCACGAAACACCAAAACACATGTGTTGAGCTGTTGACAGTGGTATATGTGTCCCACACTGCTAAAAACACTATTAGGACACCTATATTTCACTAAAAACTGTAAATTGGTTGTTTTTGCGTTATTTCAAGCAAATTCGTACTTCCTGTTTGAAACGAATTTTTGAAGCTGCGTCACGGTCATGACATAATAGCGTGTATTCCAGCGTGCAGACTGGACGTCTGAGCCAGAGTGAGTCTTATTACGTCTTACAGTGTGATGCATTAATGCATGAGTATTGGCTTGGTTCAAACCAATCAGCGCGCTCTATTGTGCAACTTCATTAATATTCATTACTGTCACAGTGTTTAGACGACAGAGACGCCACGTTGTGTTGGCAAAACAAGCGTGAAGTGTTGCTTTTATAGTTTGCTGCAGTGAAGTTTTGTTTTCATTTTCTCTCTGTGAGAGCGCAGCCTGAAGGTATAAGCAATTATTGATCATTCCAAGTTATAATACCCAAACAGCTTGTGGAAAAAAGGTAGGCATACTGAGTATACGTGCGTATAGCCCCGACTACACCACTGGTGTCCACTATAGTGGACATTTAAAAAAGGAGGATATTTTGAAACACAAACAAGTAAACAGCTTTAAAAGCTAAATGTATTGTTCCTGACATTTTAATAAACAAATGCAATAATAATCGTAAAAAAACATTTGAAAAGCTCAATTTCACACACCTCTCTCCTTCCCATAAAATGTGCTTGTTTGTATGTCGGCCGTTTTGGATGCAGTGTAACAAGTGGTTCCTAGCATGCCAGCCAATCAAATGACAACACTAGAAAGCCCAGGATGTCCTCTGAACAGCACAACAGGACCTGACAGAGTAGCTCATGTCCACTAAAGGGGACACTAGTCAATGGGCAGGGTCTCAGGAGGTCATTTTGGAAGTAAAATGTCTCAAATACAGCAAGAGATCATCGATAGCGCTGTATTTTACATAGGTCGACGTCACATAAATGCTCACGTGCGGTACTCTCTGGGTCGAGCGCTTTGTTTTGATTCTTCAGGAAAAGGCGGGCAGATAATATCAGATGGGAAATGTTTTTCATTTACAACCCTGGAAATGTGCCTGACAGAAACAGAAGCAGCTGAGCAATCCTGTGAGCATGAATCAAACACAAACTGGACTGGAAAGTTTGCTATTAATACAGTAGAGCTATTTTTTCCATTGTATAATATTTAATTTATTTTCTAAAAAGTGCCATATTTCTATTTCAGTAATACGCACTCATGGATTTGACATACGCAGATATTCAATATGCTGATAATGAATGCTCATTATTGATGTCATGAGCACTACACAATACAGTGAAGCACTATGTATTATTTTTATTTATAAAATGCTTTTAACCAGTTAAACTCTGCTGTTATTTTGGGATTTCCGCCTGGATTTTGCCTACCCAAATTTAAAAGCTTCCCAAATCCACATGCAGAGGTGTAAATGCAAAAATTTGGCCTCGTTTTGAAGAAAACCCTTTGAGTTTTCATAAAACACTGTTGAAAGTGTTTAAAATATCTGTTTATGTTGTCTGTGTTATAATAAACGCCTAAAAAAAGAGGCGCTTTTTGTATTTTTTTTTTATAAACTCATATTTGAAAGTGTACCTTTCAGGTTGTGTGTGCTCTAGTGTGCTGTAATTAATGTTGCTGGTTCCTGCACATGTCTGTAATCATAGGACACATGACAAATGTCTCCACCATAATCTGTGCAGAAGTTATTGTGTTCCAGCTGATGAGAGGTGCTGTACAAGCCACAGGGATGATCATTGTGTTCATATTTCACTATTCTTTTCTTTGATCAAACATAATTCAGTGTGTTTGGAGCACGTCAGACATATAAAAAGATTACTTATGCACATCAGCTCAAAAACAGAGGAGAATGGCCCTGAAGCACACAGCATAAGGTAAGAGATGACAGCTGTCTGTGCTATCTGGGGCTGCTTATTGATCATAAATGTATTGTTTTCACTTCTGCGCCATGGAAAAACCAAGATTCATTCAGCAACTGTTTGATATGTGAATATAATTCAGTAAAAAGAACGCTAGAAGCGTATGAGCACCGGCAAGAGCTTTCATTTGAGCTATAACTTGTACATGTGTCATATGAAAAATATGAAAATGAACCAATGATCAATACCCAGCTCGGGTATTCAAAATACTGTGTATTTAAGTGTAAATAACTTTTGTACAGTAGATTAAAAACCAAAGTGATGCATATGTGCATAAAATATAGATTCTACACTTTCAAACGAAACCACTTATGCGGGTCTGGTGCAATGCGAGCCCTTTAAATCAGAAAGCGAAAGTCGATGGCATCACAGACCTGGTACTGGTTGAATTGGCAGTGTTTGTTCACCACAGCAGCAACTTTTTCCAATCGTTAACATCTATAAGAATATCTAGTCTAATATTATTTACTGTCATCATGGCAAAGATAAAATAAATCAGTTATTAGAGATGAGTTATTAAAGCGGTTATATTTAGAAACGTGCTGAACAAAATCTTCCCTGTTAAACAGAAATTGGGAAAAATATACAGGAAGGCGAATAATTCAGACTTCAACTGTATAAATAATAAAGCAATGCAAAGTGTTTCTGTGATTATACCTGTTAAAATAACCTTTTTTGCAGATTATGTTGTGATAATACCATACAGTATATCGTGATTTAAAGCTTCAGCAATTAATCGCAACAACAAAATTTGATACCGTCATCCTATTGAAGCCTTCTGAAGCTCTGTTTGATTAAGCTGAGGGCTGGCATGGCCAATTTGTAAACAAAAAGCAGAAACACACACACAGACACACACCTGCGAGCAGCTCCTCCACACCTCTCGACATAAGTGCTCCACTCTTTTGAGCTTCATAACGTTCGAAAGACGGCAGAGAATAAATCCTGTTTACAGTGCGCTGCGCAATACACATCCAGTCTGAGCTGAAACTAAACCGTCTCACACACTCAGTTTAACTCCCAGACAGGGACAACCCTTCAATCACCCGACTCAACTTCCTGTTTCTAGTGAGAGTCCCAAACGCCGGCTGATTCAATTCAAGTTTCAATTGGTTTATTTGTAAAGCGCTTTTCACAATAGTGACCGTTTCAAAGCTGATTTACAACAGGTGCGTATCACTGCATTACAATCAGAATCTGAAGAGATAAGGTTATTAAAGTGATGGAATAACGGTGCTATAAATACTAACAGCAAAACTTTATTCTGTAATGAGTAATCAAATGAATTACTGTTTCCCAGTTACAACGCCGTTACCGTTACTGACAATAAAATGCGCTTTACTGTAGAGGTGTGCACATACACTGGTCTCAGTTCGGTTTGGTTAGGATAATCATGCCATGGATTTGGTTCAATTTGATTAGTTGGTATACACAAATAAAATGGAGCGGGTGCTTTTTAAAATGACTGACGGTGAATGAATGAAAGTCAAACCGGTGAGCCGTCTGACAAAAAAGTGCCCTTCTGAAGCAAATAAGCAGGATGCCCTTATGGTTTTTCACTTTGAAGACACTACTGATTATGTTTACATGGACATCAGTTATTTGCCTTAATAAGACACTTGTATAATTAAGGTGAAGTGCTTTTTGAATGTTGCGTCGCCAGGCTAGTCACGGTCAAGCTATTCACATCCAATTTTGTGAGTTTTATCCTTATTTTTTTAGACTTTAGCGCAGTTTATTTTAAGTTTCACTTTCATTCACGCTCCCATGACAAACTGGGGTAATAGATGCGTAAATAAAGTAAGGACTGGTGGAAGAGAGTTGTTTTAATGGAAAGCCGGATAGAAAGGGAAACAAAAAACCCTCTGCATTTCATGATGACAGCCGTGTGTGTGTGTGTGGATCTTGTCACAAAATGCGTTGAAAAGTCCTACATGACGTTAATAGTTTGATTGCGGTGTTTACTTCAATAATGCCACTAATATCTGCAGACTCCACATGTCTTAATTCCATTTCTGTTTAGTTCAGTGATGACTTTAGTCGGATTAAGGTCATCAAAAATCGCTGTTTACATGGTAGACTCTAATCAGAGTATTGTCTGATTCGTATTAAAGGTTTGTTGCCCATGTAAACATAATGTTCGACTCAACCACACCATGAGGGCACTGCAAACTTGGCTTAGCGAAGCAGCATTTTCTGTTTGCACGTACATCAAAAGCAAGTATGCTATGCTAAGGTCAGGAGAAAAGCATAAAGGCCTTTACATTGTTTTATATACGGATATGGACATGTTCAGATTCCAAATGGTGTTGAAAAAGTCAGCATACTCTCTTTATAAGGCCTAATTCAGCCAAAAATGTCATTCTGTCTTCATTTGATGATGTATCTGCAGCCATAAAATCACAAGTGAGCTGTTTACCACAGAGAGGAAGCACAGCTCATGTGCGTCTCATCGTCGGTTAGTAACATTAAACATTATTGCGTAACAATTATCGTTTTGGCTAAAACAAGAGAAATTACTCAGCCTGTAACTTGGCGGACAGCGGGAGATAGTAATGCTTTGCCTGTCAGGGGGGGCGTTCCCCTAATAGTGTGACGACACATGAAAACTATCAAAGCCTGGAAATTCCATGACCCATGGGAACCCTGAACTATGTAAAACTTTTAATCCACATTAGTAAACAAAACAGTGATGTACCTGTCCCGTCAGCTGCTTCATGAGAGGCTGGAGTTCACTGAACAGATCGTAGCCCTGATGGAAGAAGGTCAGGTGGGCGTACATGAAGGACAGCATCTGGATGAAAGAGCGCAGCTTTAACAACACACAACACAAGCCGACATCAGTCTGAAAACACATCTGAACAGCGGAGGAGCTTACCGATTTGAGGATTTCTGACCGCCTCTTGGACTGGAGCACATTAATCTGGGGGAAAAGAAAGCAGCAAGAAAAAAGAGGAACTTGAATATCCCTGCTCAAAACAACAGGTGACAGGTTACTGACATCACTGAGCTTTCAAAACAAAAGAAAAACTATGTCACGAGCTCAGCGGTACCATGGGGATTTTACATATTGAGGAACATCGAAATACAGAGGAACATTTGCAAATATAACCCAGATGCGCAAATACGAGAGTAAATGTGAAGCTGGAGTGTAATTTAGGTCTCACATGATAGCTAAATTAATCATATTTCCATTGACGTGTGGTTTGTTATGATTGGACAATATTTGGCAGAGGTAAGATTAAATATTCTGAATTTAAAGGTTAAAAAAATAAACAAAAATCACCATTAAACTGGACTATAAGAAGTCCTTAGCTAATCAAAAATGGAGTTTTTATGTATTTACAGTATTAAATTGATTATATATCTTAATTAAAGATGACTTTTATTTAAAGGGCACCTTTGGTAAGCTGTTTGGACACAACTGTGTGTAGGTACAGTCTTATTGGAGTGATAGAAACACTGGCCCGTGCACACCAGGATGCTTTTTGCTCGCTTTTTCCGTCGATGTTTAACACCCCGTAACTAAATATAGAGCGCTGATGTGATCGTTGCACACCAATGTGCAAAACGACGGGCGTAAAATCATCATTTTTTTTCAAGAAACGCCTCATGCTCGTTTTTTTGCTCGCTAAACTTCAGCATCTGATTGGTGGAGAAGGTTTTAACGTGGTGTGTCAAAACTAAAAAAATGAGCATAAGGAGTTTCTTAAAAAAATTACAATGGTGTGCACTATCACACTGGCGCCCTTTCAAGAGTTCACACTTAGATACTGTTTGACAACTTGTTAGCAAGTTAGCAGGTTTGGCATGCTGTCCCAATAGAGAACCCTGAGCTCGGAGATAGTTGAGCCCAGGGCTCCTGCCAGGTCCATAGAGCATGTGAGGGGAGTACGAGGTCAGGTGTTCTCGAGAGCTCCCCTCGGCAAAAGAGGAAAGGAGGAGAAGGGGTGGATGGGGGGGGTTTCTTTGGAAAACGAAGATAAGGAAGTAGTTCTTAGCTAGGTTACTTATAGTGAGTTTGGATCAATCCGATTGGCTAGCCAATGAGTGTAGATGAGTGGCCAGCTGCTGTCAATCATATCACGTGCTCCTCTCGAAATTAGTTTGTGAAACTTCATTTATTTGGGTCACGAGACGTTAAACTTTGAGGGAAAACGCGAGCAGAAAGCGTCCTGGTGTGCACGGGCCTTTATTTACATCTTGTAAAAGGGGTAAAATAGGTTCCCTTTAATGTTGTAATGACATTTGCCATTAAAAAATCTATAATTTTGACTCACTTTGTTGGCTTTAGACTATTTTTATAAGACGGTGATTACGCTTTTAATCATTAGCATCACAAATCCTTGAAATATTAGATTTCTTTAAAACCCGCAAGTAGATTTACAAAGCTATACTTAGGGCCCTATCATACACCCGGCACAAGGAGCAATGCTATTGTTGTTTGCTAGTTTCAGCTTGGCGAAAGAGTTGCTTTGACGTTTTGCATCATGCTGTTTAAATAGTAAATGCATTTGCGCTCATATGTGCGCCCATAGGTGTTCTGCTCTAAAAAAAAAGAGGCGTGTTGAGATGCATTGCTGGCGCGTTGCTATTATGAGGAACTTAAATAGATTGACCAGCTTAGAGGAGGTCTCTAGGAAGTCCAGCGCAGAGCGTGTTAGTTGTGCGCCTCGTTTAAACATTGCTTAATACACACAAGATGTACAGCGATACGCAAATATCTTTACAAATGAAAAAGAATTAAAGGATTAAAATATTACAAAACATTATTTTCTAGCCGACATAAATATAAACACCACCGCCTCCATGCTTTCATTATCTCGGGGGGGGGGTTTCAGTTTATTCATGACAACTTGCTTTTGTAAAATATTATTATTAGCAGTATTATTTATTACTATTTAGTACTATTTGTTATTATAACTATTATTAAAATCAAGCTTAGATTTGTCCACCTGTCAGGTTTCAGGCCATATGGGGCACAGCATGTGTATTAGGATATAACTCAGTGTTTTGAGCACACTTCATTATTATTGTTCATTTATTTGTTTGCTGGAGATTAGAACTGAATTTAGAAATAGTTTTGAAACAAATATTTGCGCTTAACAAACAAAATTAATTATGTAAAGGCTAATGAATGTCTGTGTTCAACATGTTTCCCTATCTATAAGAGTGAAAGTAGATAATAAGGAGGCTCATCTCTCATTCTCCCGCTGCAGATGCTCTGTTTAACTGATTTCTCTCTAGTGAAGTGTTCAGTTTTTACACTTACAAAGTCGCCATGTAAATAGCAAATGCACTATGGCGTGACGCAACTGACTCTTAAAGGGAATGAGAGACGAGACTCTGATTGGTTTATTCTCAAGACACACCTATAACTCATTAAGAGAATAAGCTCAACCCTGTTAGACCATGCGCCAACCATGCATTTTTTTCCATGCTTAAAATACAAAAGTAGATTCTGACAGGCCCTTAATGCGTTAGACTTTGCACTTAGATCATCAAAATAAAGCCCTTTGTACTCAATCACACTTTACATCAAATGACAAAAATACACCTAATTAGCTCTTATGTGAGGTGTTGGTAATTTGACATTGTTCTCTATTCTAGATTATTATTTTTTCCTTTTTAAAAGAGTTTTTAAATTATTTCAGCAAACAGGAATGCAAAACAATTCGTTATGGTAATCTCCTATTCACTGCGCTCTGTTTACCAACTATGAGGATTTCTGCAGCTGAGAAAGCTGCAATTATAAAAAGAGTAAGATAAATGTATCAGAAATGTTGTGAAAACAACTGTAAAATAAAACAAAATCATCATTGAAAAAAAAACACCTTAAAATGAAGCAAATGGTGTAGAAATGCTGAACAGAATGCTTCAAGGACTATTAAAAAGCAATGCATCCTTCAGTTCTCTCTCAGTTCCAGCAGGAGGAGCACCACACTGAACATTGACTACACACACACAGACATGTTCCTATATCACAGTGGGGACTCTCAAAGATATAATAATGTTTCTACGATACCTTTTCAACATATACTCTATGTACATTTTCAAAACACTTCGTTCTGTCTTGATGTATAAGCATGTTTACCCAATGAGACCTCTTTTTTGGTCCCCATGGTGATTCAAGTCCCTATGCTAAAGGCTCAAGTCCCCTCTGGGATATAAAAACAAGCACACACACACACTATATATATATGCTGTTTCAGCGAATCTACTTTACACTACAGTAATGCAGTTTACATGAATAGTTTGAATTTGATTTATATTCCTTAACTATTTCATTAATTAAAATATGCACACACACACACACACACACATTTGTTGCAAGAGATGTAAAAGTGCTTCATGGCTGAGTGTAATCCCTCTCGTCATGTTTTGCTGCATATCTATGAAACTTGATGCAGTCGTGTCACGCTATCAGTTTGTCCTCTCTGTGCACTTCCTGTGTTCTGTAGTGACACACACACACAAGGATCCAGTATGTGTGTGCGTGTGTTTGTCTATGTGCATGATAGCGAGTTAGTGTGTGTGTGCATGTCTTTTAAAAAAAGTAAAACTGCAGATAGTTTCCTGTGAGGGTTTGAGTATACACAGTCTGTACAGTATACAAACCAGTCCCCATAAAGACAGATGTACAAGTGTGTGTGTGTAAACTCTCACCTGCAGCACATAATCCAGGACGATGTGGCGGAAACACTTGCGAGTGGCGTTCAGGATGTTGGACGCCTCCTCCACCTCGTGCGCCTTGTTTCGGGGAGCCTGGGCGTTTTTGGACAGGGCCGCTTCTTTCTCCTCGCTCACTTTGTCGAACTGCTTCTTGGCTTCTTTGAATTTGCGCAGGTCCCTGAACACAGCAATACCATTCCTTACATGAGCAACGACTACTGCTGAAACTGAGCCATTATAAACCCTGAGAGACGCGCACACACACACACACACAGCGCTCTCTGCATCCTGTCTATTGACAAACACAAAACATCACAAACACTACAGCATATATATATAATGATTTTTACTTAACATTATTCAGACAAATTACATTAACATTTTAAATAATAAGTGGTATTGTGTGTGATCAGTATCATATTGCATTAAAAGACTGTGCTATCGCCCTTCCCTAGTATTTAACCTTTGGGACAAACATTAATATTTAAACTCCTAAAATAATTAAACTCCTTTCATATTCAAGGCCTTTATTGTAAACGCCGCAGCAATTTAATCTGCCGTTAATTCATGCGGAGAAATCTTCTCAGGTCTTTGGATGACTCTGCATTCAGAAGTTAATGTCCTGACACATCTTTATACAAGTTCATGCTGTTGTTGCAGATGAAATATAACACAGATAACGGGATTTAGATATTGTCCAGTTGGCTAGATGTTAATTCTCAGCCTCTATAGTCGACGGTTGCTCTTGTGCATCAGCCATGTTTGTAGTTTGTTTACATTCCCGAGTTTGTAGTTCTAACGTGAAATGTACTGTGGTCATTATTAGCATACGGATGCTTCTAGAATTTCTACCAGAAATAGTCGACCATCCGGGAAACTTTGCCATACACTTTTCAATATGCTATACGCTTATTAATACAATTTTCTATTACGTATGCAGAGAGGAAGGTGTGTTAAACCTATATATGGGAAAAGCAGCTTCTCCTGAGGCCTAGTTCACACTACATGACTTGATATTGTGTCTTTGAATCCCTGTGGTGTTCACACTACATAAATGATCCACTAGAGGGAGGTCACACACTGTTTAGACCTGCAGCCTGGAGACCTCAAAGTGGGAGGGATTACACCAAGTAGGATGAATGATTTCCAAGTGGGAGGGACTTAAACCGCAAGTAGGTTGGGTTTGAGTGGTTTAGGAGGAGTAGACATTAATAAAACACATCAGGTTATTGTGAGGTTGGGTTTAGGTGTACACATTCATAAAGCACAATATTGAACTCTAAATACGACTAAATAAATAAAAGAAGACCTCCGTTTATACCCTTCTCTCCAAACTCAGTCCTGGAGGGCCGGTGTCCTGCATAGTTTAGCTCCACCTTCCTTCAACACACCTGCCTGGAAGTTTCTAGTATACCTAGAAAGAGCTTGACTATCTGGTTCAGGTGTGTTTAATTGGGTTTGGATGTAAAATATGCAGGACACCGGCCCTCCAGGACCGAGTTTGGACAGCGCTGGGGTAGACCAAAGCGTGTCTCACGCCTCTTTTCAAGTGAAGGTCCCGGCTGTTAGATCATCCCCTGGGGGCTGGCTGCAGTACAAGTAGCGATGCAACAATTAACCGGTTTCACTATTAACCGTGCTTTAATCCGTCACAGTTCATTAATCGTGAAGGCTTCTCAACACCGTGTTTCTGCATGGAACAAAACTGCTGCAACTTAAAGTAATGCTACTTTTTCTTCACTGTAAAAGGGAAATACTAAATACAGCTATTATGTAACTTAGATTTACAGTAGACAAATACTACTTATTTATTTATAGATTTTTAATTTAATTAATTTATTTTATTTATTCGTTTTAATTTATCTATTATTTTAATTTATTAAAAATGTTTATTTTCATTTATTTATTTTTTTTATTTCATTTATTTATTTTTAATTCATTTACATTTAATTAATTAATTTATTTTAATTTATTAAAATTTAGATTCATTTATTTAAATTGTAATTTTTTTCTTTATTGTAATTTATTTTATTTTATATATTTAAAATTAATACATTTTTATTCATTTAAATTAATTTATTTAATTTTTATTTGTTTATTTAAAAAATATATTTATTTATTGACATTTATTTTCTAATTATTACTATTAAATGCCAAAACTTTTTTCTTTTATTTTTAAGCCCAAGGAGAATTGTACTATTGTTTGTTTTTTATTGTTTATCTATTGTTTTGTGTCGTATTTTTTGGTTACTGAGCAGCAACAATTAGCACTTTAAAATATAAGGAGTTTTTATCTGATTTTAGTAACTAGCAGTGTTTTGAAATTAAAAAATGCTTAATAATCGTGATAACCGTGATTATTCCTCAGACCATAATCGCACAACCAAAATCTATAATCATTGCATCCCTAAGTACAAGTCAAAGCGTGTCATCATGATTGACAGTTGTGATTGACAGCTTCTATAAACAGACCGTCAGAGCTTCGAGAGGAGGTTGAAGTGTTAATATTAGATTTCTGTGTTATTTTACCATGATAAAATGAGTTCAGCAGTAAACTATACTTTGTGACATACAGGATCTGGTGAACATACGGTTTATTCAGAAAAGTGAGAGTTTTATCAGGCTTTATTATTAGATTGCTGTGGCATGCCTAGCCATGATGACGGGGAAAATACAAGTGATCGCTATCTAGCAGTCATTTTTAATGGGTTTTATTTGTTAGAGATACTATTAATAAATATAATCATTTACACTCTATACATCTGTTATTGCATCATGTTACTGTACACAGTGAGGTGCATATTTATAATAATACATTAATACATCTAAAACACGGATTGCGGTAAAAACTCGACTCTTAATTGAAGAGATTTCTCACTAATAGTGGGAAAAGTGTTAAGTGGTCTCATCTTTGATCCAAATATGCTGCTTTAAGTCTTCATTCTAATTAAATAAATTGAATACATGGGAAGTGTATAGTCTGTTTGCGTAATGAAATTAGTATTAAATGATAAAACCTTATTGGTCAGCTGATTACTGAAAATGTCCCATTAGAAAATCACTAAAGTAAGAATCATGAAAAAACAACCATCAGCAGTGTTTAACCGTAATGATACTCACTCTCGAATGAACGTCTGGAGTTGAGATTTGATTGATCGTTGCGCTTGGTCAAATAAAATCTGCAAAATGAACACAAATGCACAATTATAAATTAGCAGCCTGTTATTAATTTCATAACCATTCACCACATTTTACTGTATACTTATTGCTAATGTTAACTTATGGATTCCTTATTTAATATTTTTACTATAGTATATGAAAGTTCAAAATATTAAATAAATAAATAATATTAATGTATTAAAATACTCTAATAATTTATGCAGTTTGTCAATCTAAAAATGTAAATCTATATACAGTAATCACCCACCATAATGTTAACACAACAAAAACAAAAATAAAAGATGAAAGATTATCATAAAAATATACTGTGTTATGTATTTCTCAAATATTCATAAAACGACTATTTTAAATGTAATATTAGTTTTGTGTTCAGTGGAGAAAATTTAAATATGATTAACATTTCTAGTAGTGTTAATATGGTAAGCAATATTACATGTTACTACAACAAAATTTATTCCATGTAAACACAAGCTACTGAGTGTCAAAATACTTTAAATCATTTCTTTGAATTAATACTTCGACTAAAAACCACAAAACATTTGACAATTACAAATATTTTGGAATTAAAAATGAAAATTAAAAAATGTTAATGATAAATAAATAAATAAATAAATACATAAAAATAAATAAATAAATACATCAATACATAAAAATAATAAATACATAAATACACAAATGAATAAATAAATAAATACTTCAATAAATTCGTAAATAAATAAATACACAAATGCATAATAAATAAATACACAAATGAATAAATAAATACATAAACACATAAAATAAATACATAAATAAATTAACAAATACATAAAAAATAAATACATAAATAAATACAAAAATAAGTAAATAAGTAATTAAATAAATAAATGGATAAATACACAAATACATAAATAAATAAATAAATAAATAAATAAATAAATAAATAAATGCACAAATAATTAATAATGAATGAATTAATAAATTTAATTATTAATAAATAAACAAATACATAAATAAATAAATAAACAAATAGATAAATAAATTCATAAATAAATACATAAATAAATAAATTCATAAATTAAAATATAAATTTATAAATAAATAAATAAATACATAAATACATAAATAAATAAATAAATAAATAAATAAATACACAAATAAAAAAATACACAAAAAAATGAAAAATAAATAAATAAAATGACGTTTACTTGCGAAAAACTACATTTTAAGACTATAAAAAATACATAACCTTATTGTCCTGATAAATACAACTATATGAATGATTCCTTCCCCTGCTTCTGTGCTTAAAAAGCTGTTTAAGATGTTTCATCATTTCTTTTAGGCCTATTTAACCTTTGCACAGATTTTGGGCCAGTGTGAATGATGAAACAATCAAGACGTGTTTGTGTTTTAAAGATCATCAGACTTTAACCACAAGTCAGCTGATCTGAGCACAGACTCAAAGACCATCAAGAAAATGCACACAACAACACACACACACACACTGACCACGAAGAAAACACACAGAGATCAATAAGAAAACACTCCAAGAGTTATTCTCTGTAGATAGAGTAGTTTCACCCGAAAGACTTAAAATTCTGCCATCCTTTACTCTCCCTTGTTTGAAACCTTTATGAGTTTCTTTCTTTAGCTGAACAAAAAAAGAAGATATTTTGAAGAATGTTGGAAACCTGTAACCATTGACTTCCAGTATTTGTTTTTCCTGCAATGGAAGTCAATGGTTACCAGTTTCCACATTCTTCAAAATGTGTTCAACAAAATTCAGAAAAGTTTTATAACCACACAAGGGAGACTAAATACTCATTTTGGATGAAATAACCCTTTAATTAACATGTCCACTGTATAAAAATATCTGTAAATGAGCAGTTTTCAGTATTTTCTGATTGACGTTTTTATTTTTTCCTGATTTAATTCTGCTTTTGAGTTGCATTGTGGGATCTTGATCCTTCTTTCAACAGCTTTTAACCTTGAAATGTTTTGAAAAGTGACTTTTATGAACATTTTTAATAGTGTAAAGTGTTATATTGTCTGAGTTGGTGTTGTATATTATTCTACAAACACAAGCACCAGTACATTTTCTGTTATTTTATAGACTTATTTCTCTGTATGTTATTTCTTACAACTACTAAAACTCCTTAAATGTCAATAAAAGTCACTTTGTTAAACTGCAGGGTTGAATTAGAAGTCATTAGAAGTCAACAGAGTAGAGATCAACATCCCATAATGCAATTCACTACCGGAAATAAACGGAAAACATGCAAAATATGGAAACTGCTATTTTATACAGTGTACTCTGCAGAATTAAATAACAGCACTTCCAATTACTGCCACAAGGGGCAGCAACTGTTTTCAGAAACTGACTGGTACTAGATAATATTCAGGTTAAGTTGATCTCAGCTGAATCTAACGGCTCATTCAAGGTAAACCCTTCATTCGTGTGTCAGCTACAGCACAGATGCCTCAAAGCTGGGTGTATAATTCAAGTAAAACAGAATGAGGAAACTGTTTTTTGCATGGTAAGCATCTGTGGTCATATTTCTGACAAGAAATGCAGAAGTCATTATTCACAGTAACGAACACTTTCAGCCCAGATTTCCTTACTGTGTGATAGTTGATCATCTCTTGAAGATTCTCTGCAAACGTGCTCAGACTGGACTGTGAAGAAAGAAAAGACAGATTTTTACACACAACACAGTAATGTTGCAAAGAAAAGCATCACAAAAACAAAATGAAGTGCACTAAAAATGTATGTACTTCACTTTTTAGCGCAATAACATATATCAAACTAGTAAAATACTACTTATTCATGATTGTTAGTCATTAGTAATTAATATATCGCCCATCATAATATATCAAACTTGACATTTGCATAATTCATCATATTGTCAGACCAATAATATAGTCTGACATATATTTGTCAGACAAGGGGGCTAATAATATTCACCTTTAAATGCTGTTTAAATTAAATTAAATTAAATTAAATTAAATTAAATTAAATTAAATTAAATTAAATTAAATTAAATTAAATTAAATTAAATTAAATTAAAAACTGCTTTTATTCTATAAATAAAGAAATACATTCATAAATACATAAATAAATTAATAAATACACAAACATAAAAAATAAATACATAAATACACAAATAAAAAATACACAAATAAATAAATAAACAAATACATAAAAAATAAATAAATAAATACACAAATAAATAAACAAATACATAAAAAATAAATGCACAAATAAATAAACAAATATATAAAAATAAATAAATACATAAATAAATAAAAAATTCACAAATAAATAAATAAACAAATACATACAAAATAAATAAATAAATAAATACACAAATAAATAAATAAATACATAAATAAATAAATAAATAAATACACAAATAAATAAACAAATACATAAAATAAATACATAAATAAATACACAAATAAATAAATAAATAAATTCATAATTAAATAAATACACAAATACATAAATAAATGAATAAATAAATAAATACACAAATAAATAAATGATAATAATGATAATATATCAAACGTGACATTTGCATAATTCATCATATTGTCAGACTAATAATATAGTCTGACATATATTTTTCAGACAAGGGGGCTAATAATATTCACCTTTAAATGCTGTTTAAATTAAATTAAATTAAATTAAATTAAATTAAATTAAATTAAATTAAATTAAATTAAATTAAATTAAATTAAATTAAATTAAATTAAATTAAATTAAATTAAAAACTGCTTTTATTCTATCTAAAATAAAACAAATAAGTCTTTCTCAAGAAGAAACAATATTATAGGAAATACTGTCAAAAACTCCTAAATCTGGAAATATTTGAAGACGGAAAAAAAAATTTTATTGGAGGATGAAAATTTTGACTTTAACTGTGCATGCGTTTAATTTAAATCATCAATTATTATCGCTTTACTCCTTGTTTATTATGTAATCTGCAATGCTTTGGCATTGCAAGTCATGCCAATACAGCTCTTTTGAATTGAATTAACAAAATAGCCTCTATCACACACTAGTGTGTGTGTGTGTGTGTGTGTGTGTGTGTGTGTAAACACTAGAGTATGAGTGTGTACCTGCTCATACATGCACACACAAGGAAGTTATGTTTTCATAGCACAACAAAGCCTGAACAATGCCCATTTCAAAGATGCGGGAGAGTATAAATGCGAAGACTCAGAATGCTGGTATGTGGCCAATGCTTTTGTATGAGCACTAACCAAGCTTTGAAGTGAGCACTAAGTAAACAGCAGCCTTCACAACTGGCACTCTCCACAAGCTGCACCAAAGCAAACAGACTCGAGCTACAGATGAGTATCATGTGCCGCTGGTTTGATATGCGTGTGACTGTGAAATGATTGGTTCACCTCGATGACATCATCAGTGGCGGACTGCTGCGCCAGCTCTCTGATGCCGCTCACGAACTGCTTGTTGGCCGTGTTGTACGCCTTTCCAGCGTCGATCATCCCGATGCACAGCTTCACCAGCTGAACACAACCAAGATATGCAGAGATATAGTGAAATATACAGAGATGTGTCAAATATCAACAAGTTAAAACAACAGCACATGGCACAAAACTGAAAATAATAATACTAGGATTAAAAATAAAGTCCAGTTTTTACATAGTATAAGTAGGCGGATTGGGACGCACCAAAACTCTTCTTTATTGTGTTAGTTTGATTGCATTTCACCTTTGAAATGCAGATTTAAAAGGTCACAGAACACCAGAACACATGTGTTGAGCTGTTGACAGTGGTATATGTGTCCCACACTGCTAAAAACACTATTAGGACGCCTATATTTCAATAAAAAGTGTAAATTGGTTGTTTTTGCGTTATTTCCAGCAAATTCGTACTACCTGTTTGAAACAAATTTTTGAAGCTGCGTCACGGTCATGACATAATAGCGTGTATTCCAGCGTGCAGACTGGGCGCCTGTAGCTGGGAGTGCCTTCTTACGTCTCAGAGTGTGCTGCATTCATTCATGAGTAAGACTTGGTTCAAACCAATCAGCGCGCTCTATTGTGCAACTTCATTAATATTCATTAATGTTAAAGTGTTTAGACGGCAGAGACACCACGTTGTGTTGGCAAAACAAGCGTGAAGTGTTGCTTTTATAGTTTGCTGCAGTGAAGTTTTGTTTTCATTTTCTCTCTGTGAGAGCTCAGCTGGCGTCATGTGTGGATTAACAGTGTACGCGACGCTCCACTGTTACGCGACGCTCCACTGAGTTTACCCGAGAGCTTTTCTCTTCTGCAAATGGTGAGATCCAGATTAGCTGCTCGTCTCCTCTTAATAAAGACGCGGGTCTAGTTGCTGGTGATTGTCCTGTCTCTACAGATTTGGTAAGTGAGCGACCAGTGCTCTTTGTTTATTCAGTTTGTTCGTATCAAACTAAGTTAACTATTGCACCGAGTGTAAACATGTTAGCACAACAACCAAACTATTACCGTCGTGTAGGATTTTCACAGCATTTTATGACAGGAATAACACACGCGGCTTTCTGACACTACCTGCCAAGTGCATCTAAATTACAGAGAAATGCAGAGGGTTTTTTTCTCTCATTCGCCGTGCGGTAACAAACATTGCATGAAAAATACACGCTTAGAGCAGTTCCCCGAATCAAATATTTCGTTTGTCACGAGGGACACGAATGAATTCCCTGAATGAAAGAGAAAAAACTGCAGTTAAAGTCCAACATTTAATAATTTGCCAAATAATTTGATTACTAAAGTCCAAGTAAACACAGTCAGTTTCTCCCCTGTGTGTGTGTGTGTGTGTGTGTGTGTGTGTGTGTGTGTGTGTGTGTGTGTGTGTGTGTGTGTGTGTGTGTGTGTGTGTGTGTGTTTTGACTCTCTCCATATCCCATAATGCACTGCGCATCGGCCTACGGCAGCTGGATTAGTCCAAAAGGCGCAGTACTGTTTGCGGTTGGACCCGTTTTAGTACGGATCATTGTCTCACCACAAACGAACCGCTCCAGGGTTTGTTTGAAAGCGTACCGAGACCACCTCTTCAAGCAGGTCTCGGTACGCTTATTTGGTCCGCTTTTGCTGCGCACTCGAGTACGATTGCTGCATTCAGACCTGCCCAAACCAACCGCACCAAAAGGGGAAACCAACTCTAGTGCGATTCAATCCAACTAAATAAGGCAGGTGTGAAAGCACCCTAAGACTATTTGAGAATTCACAGACACCGTGTCTTGTAGTAATTTTCTAGATTTGGTTTACTGATGGAGGGGATTAAATCAGTTGTTGATTATTACGCGTCTTCTGCTTTGAATCCAATTCAATTCAGCTTTATTTATATAGCGCTTTCACAACGTAGATTGTGTCAAAGCAGCTTCACATAAATGGTCATAGTAAATTGGAACAGAGTAGTTCAGTTTTCAGTGTTTAAGTTCGGTTCAGTTTAGCTCAGTTCAGTGTGCTTTAAAATCATCACTGAGAGTCCAAACAAACACTGAAGAGCAAATTCAGCTTTGAAAACAGACGTTCTGCTTGTATTTCCAAGAAAAGCAGCAGCAGCAGCTCCTCCTCCAGATTTCATATCCTTCCTCAGAGAGCGCGAGAGAGAGAAGGAAGTGAGCGCTCTGAGTCACCGGCCAGAAGACGCTGGGTGGGTCTAATATCTGAGCCAACACTGAGCTCTACTCCCGCTCTAACATTAAAGCAGCAGCGACGCTCTCAAATCTGTCATTAGCTTGCGTTTCCATCCTACTATTTTTATGTGCATTTTAGATGATGGCATGAAAAATAAACGATTGATGGATGAAATGTGTGTTTCAGATACTTTGCATTAATAGAGTTTAGCTCCAACCCTAATCAAACACACCTGAACAAGCTAATCAAGCTCTTGCTAGGTATACTTAAAACACCCAGGTAGGTGTGTTGGGCACCGGACCTCCAGGAACGAGATAGGTGACCCCTGCTATAGAGAATATGAGTTTAAATGAGAGATTTGTGAGAGGTGTTGTCATATATGCTGAGCACTCTAAATTAAGCACTGCGCTGTTCTGGTCTACAGCATGCTTGGATGCTGATGAAGGCACTGCATAACAGAATTATTAATCAGTTAAAAACCTTCACTTTTCCTTTTTGAACCGATTATCATCCCTAAGCACAATCTGCACAGAAGTCAAAGTGATCCTACCTTGTCTAGTTTGGACTCGAGCTCGCAGACGTCTCCTTCCACCTCCTCGATCGTCGCCCTGTTGAAGACAGAGAAAAACTTCAGACCAACACAGAAAGAGACGCTGCAGGTATCGCATTTATCTCCACATTCCACAAGGCTGAGGGACGCTATCATCTCAAATCTTCAATCTTCAAACACAAGTACTAAAAGCACCGGCATGTCAACAGAAGCACTAAATGAGCACGTGAAGCACCGAAAATGATGACGTGACGTGTGGAGAAACCAAATATACACTATAATATACAACACTGCAATAACACAGCTTCAGAATATGCACGGCATGGAGAATTTGCATACAGAAATCTTAAAGGTACAGAGGTTAATCAAGTTTACTAGGCAAGATTGAGTAATTAGGCAAGACACTGTATAACAGTAGACGATCCAAAATATTGCTTAAAGGTGCAGTGGGTGATTGTCTTCAGAAACATTTGTTGTTGTGCTGGTTAAAAGTCTGTTCACATTCCAATAGTACTGATTACAGTAAATGATCTAAATGTGTTTATACAACCCAGGCTCATTCTGAAAACGTAGTCCAGCGGACGTTTCTGGAGACCGCGAAATACGTCCCGGGAGGTACGTATGGCTGCATTTCATTTTTTTTAGGCAAACGCTATGGGGCGGTGTGACGCCGTTTCCTTTCGCGCTTGCCGAAATCGTGTGCGTCGGTGGACTTCAGATGCAGTAAGGAGGAGCTGACAAAGGCATCTGGGTTCGAGTCTGGGGAAGAGCGGTTCCAGAAACCAGGTAAGACAAAAACAGAATCCAAAAAATAAAGCGAACGAGTTCATAACAGGGTGAGAAATCCAAAAACGTGGTAAAAAAATAAAAAATAAAAATGAACAGACGAGGGCTTTTCTTTTTCTAGACGGCTTTTCTAAATTTTTGCTCAGGTTTAGGAAAGTGAGCGGGCGGGCGGGTCAATCTGTAAAACTGGTTGGGTTCTGGGAAGGAGGAGGGTGGGTCAGCCGATTGGCCGGTCGCCCAGTCAATCATTCGGTCAGTCAGACAGCGGCCTCTGGTGGGTTGATGCGAGAACAGCGCGGGCGCGAACCGCACTCGCGAGAGACGTTCGAGATACAAAAAAGCGCACATAGCGGCCTCTCGCGCATTCGCGAAAACAAAAACTGCACAAATACGTACCTCCCGGGACGTATTTCGCAGGCTCCAGAAATGTCCGCTGGACTACGTTTTCAGAAAGAGCCTGGGTTGTGTTTATATGTGTTTTTATATTCTGTGTAAGGCACAAGACTAAACAAATGCTCATCCAAGCAAAGAGTTGTCAAACTGATAATTCCCATAATGCTGATAAGCAGCCCAAACGGGGTCACGTGGACATGAGTGACAGCAGTAAAACAAATGCTGAATCAAAACTTGCTAAACTCCTGAATCAATATTGGAGTTAAGGCTGATTTATACTTCTGCGTCAAACGCCGGCGTATGCTACGGCGCTGACGCATAGCCCTTCGCCGTGGCCATCTGCGTTGCTGACGTGCACCTCTCAAAAAATTTAACTACACGTTGCAACAATGCGTAGCGCAAGCTCTGTGATTGGTCAGCTTGGTAACGCTGACGAGTCTGGGCGGGACCGAGAGCCGCGTGAATGGTGTGAGCCTGATGGAGCGATTGTTTACAAGTGTGGAGTCCTGTGAAGGAGCTCCGGATGGAAAGTTTTGTTCTGTGTTTACCTCCTAGTTAAAGTTGTTGCACGTCTGCCGGTTCCTGCCTCAAAATGAGCGAGTTTGAGTCACTTGTACATCCAGGAAGTGTTCAGGAAAACCAAAACAGCAGCAAAGAAACTCGACACAGAGGAAGATTTACACCTCACTGCCAACTAGCGTTTCGGAAGTGTTAATGCAGACCAACAGAGACAGCGCGCAGATCACTTGAAGCAGAAGTATAAACCAGGCTTAAGGGGGCTAATACTATTGACCTTAAAACGGTTTTAAAAAATAAGGCGAAATAAAACAAATAAGACTTTCTCCAGAAGAAAAGTTATTATAGGAAATACTGTGAAAAAATTGTGTACAATAAACATTGACTAAAAAATAGTAAACATATAATGCTACTAAATTCTAGTGATTTATTGGGTTGAATATGAAAGGAAGAAGTGTGATTCTGCTGATAATAGCCGGGACTTTTAATGCAAAAATGACACATCATTTTGTCACCGCAGCAAAACAGTGAAGGAAAGACAGAATCTGTGCAGTTTCACTGCCCTCAACGGCTGCTTTTACTGATCACATTACATGTGACTTCATTGCTGAGCTGTTTCAGTCAATCCAAAGACATTTAAATACCAGAAAAAGCATGAGAAAAACATTCCTCGGAGGAAAACATTCCTAAAAGCAAACTCTAATGGGTAGCGGAGGTGCTGCGTGCTGGAAATAAAATAGTGACACAAATAAATCACCAAGTGCAGGGTACCGCCGGGATCCTCCAAATGAAATTCAAGGCTTCTTAAGAACTTTTTAATACCATTTAAAATGAAATTCAATGACAACTTCGTACCCATTCCCACAAAAGTATGAGGGAAAAAATTTTTTGAACCCTAGATAATAATTATGTAAAAGTGTATAAACACACACACACCTTTAACAAGCTGTCCGTATAAACACACACACACATAGGCCCTGTTTACACTAATGCGTTTTTGTTTTAAAACGCATAAGTTTTGCTACGGTTACGTCATCCGTCCACACTACGCCAGAGTTTAAGCGCCGAAAATGGAGCGTTTTGGAAACGCTGGAGAGGCTGTTTTCATTCTGAAGCGCTGCTGCTCCGTCTCAGTGTGGATGAGGGAAAACGGAGACATCTGAAAACGGAGGCGGGACTACTGAGATTCGCTACCTAAGTTGGGGCTTTTGTGTCATTGCGTATCCTTCCCTATTCGTCAATGCCCTATCACATGACTATAACACATGGCTTTAACGCTACCGGAAGACAGCAGACCAGCCTTCACTGTAAACAACAACATGGACACAGAAATGGGAGCGTTGTTAGCACTATTGTCTGTTTTAGGCGCCATTGTGTAGTTATTCATTTGTTACGTTTAGTAACTCGACTTCATCGTCTGTCCACAAAAATACCTCTCTTGCTTTCTTTGCCATTGCGTTCATTGTTCAACCGATGTTTGTTGACTAACAATAACCAAATGCCGAGCGAGACACATGCTTCCTGTTTATACTAGAACGCGCGTGTCCAGAGTGCGCGAATGGTCACGTGATATACGTTTTTGGTGGCGTAGTGTGGACGGAGATATGTTCAGAAAGGCTAGTGTGGACACGGATCGTATTTGATATAAAACGCCGTTTTAAAATAAAACGCACTAGTGTAAACGGGGCCATGGACATAAAGCACAAAGCAAGCGAAACACAGCATTAAGCTCTCCCTCATTCACACACATAAACACACAAACACAAGCGTGCGCTTGCTCGCTCGGGAGCTATTTACCAAGCGCTCCCGTGCTTTATTCGGAAATGTATTTCCGTGCCGCAAGAAATCTGGTCTGGTCCAAATGCAGACCTCTATCCAGAAGTAACAGCCGAGAGGAGAGGAAAAGTCACACCAGCAGGTCAAATAGGCCACAGTAAGAGAGAGAGAGAGAGAGAGATAGAGTTTACTTTCATTCTCTCAATCGCAGTGAAATAGGAGCTTTGCTGTAAGTGTCAGTGAAAGACTGTCCAGCAAACACACACGCAGTCAAATTTTGCACAGTTTCTGTGCTTTTAAGTAGTTGGAGCGTTGTAAATACTCGCGCTCGCCTCCCTCGCTATAGTAGTCTAAGCTACGGCGACGCACTATGACGTGGAGCGCCAGATGCACTCCACGTTAGGCTGTATGAATTTTTTAATTAGCCTACATTAGGAACAGTTAATTTTGTTATGGTATGAACTTTAATCCTAGGAAAGGCAAAAATAAATTAATTAATTAAGACCTTTGTAATGAAATCCAAGACTTTGTATACCAAATTTAAGGCTATTAAGGCCTTTATTTCATTCATCTTCTTGTCGGCTTAGTCCCTTTATTAATCCGGGGTCGCCACAGTGGAATGAACCGCCAACTTATCCAGCAAGTTTTTACACAGCGGATGCCCTTCCAGCCGCAACCCATCTCTGGGAAACATCCACACACACATACACACACACACTCATAAACTACGGACAATTTAGCCAACCCAATTCACCTGTACCGCATGTCTTTGGACTGTGGGGGAAACCAGAGCACCCGGAGGAAACCCACACGAAGGCAGGGAGAACATGCAAACTCCACACAGAAACGCCAACTGAGCCGAGGTTCGAACCAGCGACCTTCTTGCTGTGAGGCGACAACACTACCTACTGCGCCACTGCCTCGCCTTACTTTGAGATGATCAATTTAAGACTTTTTCCAATGCTTTTGAGACCCCGCGGGTACTCTGAAGTGAAACACAATGATCTTCAAAAAGACAGAAGCATTCCTGTGGAATGACCCATAAATAAATACACATTTTGTAAGATGAGTACGGTTTAGTTTATGCTCAAGTTCACTGTAAATCCATTCATCCATCAAACACCCACTTTGCTTTAAGAAGTGAAAACATTTGAGATATTTTCTGATCTCCCCCACAGAAACATTGGTCTTTTTTCAACAGTCCTCTTCCTGTAGTGTGCTTTATCCTGCAACTATAAAAAGCTTTGGTTGATGTATAGTAGTATCTAAAGCAATTCTGAATCTTTCTGACAAAATGTCTGCTCTTCTTTTTTCCAAAACAGCTCTGACTCAGTGTGACTGCTCGGAAAGTGCTGACAGCAGTGAAGAGAGCTGCTGCTAATGAAATCCAGGCCATTGCCTCATAGACTTAAACCTGGAGCAGATCCAGAGTCGGAGTGAGCGAGAGGCGAGAGAGGAAAGCTGTACATTCAACACACCACGCATCTGGCTTAGTCCTAATCAACTACCTGAAAACTAAACTCAGTTCACTCTGCAGCCATATTAATAATCAATACATTAATTGTTGCTAGATGAGATACAGCTGCG